ACATGCCTCTGGTCTGCTGGACAGCACACGGGCCCTGTTGCTGCTATATCTGTCTCAGGTAGGCCTCATTCATGGGGAGGACTGATCTTTTCTGTTAGATACCAATATAAACTAACCAAGCCAAACCAAACCCACTGTCGTTGAGTTGATACTGACTCATAATGACCCTATAGGACAGAGTAGAAATGCCCTATAGGGTTTTCAAGGCTGTAAATCCTTACAGAAGCAGACTGCCACATCTTTCTCCCATGGAGCAGCTGGTGGGTTTGAACTACTGACCTTTGTTTATCAGCCAAGTGCCTTAACCACTACACCACGAGAGCTCTTCAGTATAAACCAAAAATTCACTAATTAATGCTTTGCTTTGCATTGTATAGGAGCTCTGGTAGCGTAATGCCTAAGGCATTTGACTGCTAACCAGAAGGCTGGTGGTTCAAACCCACTAGCCACTCCTCAGAAGGAAGGTTGGGCAATCTACTTCCGTAGTTATACCTCCTCAGAAACCCATGGAGGGGTCGCCATGAGTCGGATACGACTCAACATCAGTGGGTTTGGTTGGTTTGTTGCATTGTATATGCCTTTAACATTTGTGAAACTCACAGTATTAATCCTATCTTTGAAAAACCTGGTGCAGGTAAATAAATCAGGAATTATCTCCCTCATTTTGCTGAGAGGAAATCAAGGCAGAAAAAAAGTGTGGTGATCAGCTTGAGGGTACAGACCTTGTTGAGGGGCTGGCAGAGGAGCTGAGTCTCAACCTGACTTGGGGTCCTAGCTGGCTCTCTGTGACATAGAGCAACCTGCTCCCTTTAAGGGGCTGGGGTGAAGTCACTTTAGCATAAACTCTTCAAAGCACACACTTGTTGTCAGAGGTCCATCTTCTCATGACCTGGCCCTACTGCTGCCTACTGCTCCTTAGAGCAACCATTGCCACCCTTAGAGCTGAATGACCATTAGGCCTCTGCCTCCTGGGACCTGCCCCCTCTGCAGCAGTTATTCATGCACTGCTGCCTCAGCCCTGGGGCACAGCCTGGTTCTGAGGGTCTGCTCCCTAGATGTTGATGGGAGAGGAGCAATAGTGAGTGGTCACATCAGAGCCCCATATGGAGGGGAGTCTGGGATTGCAGAATGGGGAGGAGACAGAAGTCTCATTCTCCTCTCCCCCTATAGTTCCTGGTTTCTTCCCTAGTCCCCCTGTTGTTGTTGTTGTTTGCCGTCGAGTCGGCCCCGACTCATAGCAACCCCTCCTTGGGTTTCCGAGGCAGTATCACTACGGAAGTAGGATTGCCCAACCTTCCTTCCGAGGAGTGGTTGGTGGGTTTGAACCACCAGCCTTCTGGTGAGCAGTCAAGTGCCTTAGGCACTATGCTACCAGAGCTCCTCTAGTCCCCCTAGGCACCTTTTAGTATTAAAGTATCCATAATATTAGCATGATGTACCAATGCTACACACTGTCCTTGCCTCACAACCCAAGTTCTGTGCTGCACTCAGAGCCAGTGTCATGGACCCTGGGGTGGGTAGGTACATGACCAGGGACTTCTAGCTCCTCTGCTGGTGGCTCTTGTTGTGGCCATGGGGTGCTTACCAGTTGCCCAGGGAGGAAGCCAGGGCACAGAGCAGGGCCACCTCCCCAGAGCTTACAGAGTGACCTATCCTGAAGGGCAGTTCTACCCTACAAGGACCCAAGTGCTGGTCCTGTGTGGTCACTGCAGGAAAGGGGGGTCCACTTTCTGAAATCCTACCCCCCTACTAGACATAGTCCCTGCAAAGGAGGCTCCCTACAGCTCCAGGACGAAGTTTCTGGAAGCCCTCCCCCACCAGGTTCTTTCTGCCCCACCCCCACCTTTTGGTTCTGTGGTTAGAGGCATTCTTTCTTCCAGATCCAGATGACAGGGATGGGGCTGGGTGAGGACTCTGAGCATTGGACTGTGAAAAGGCTTTGCAGCAGATTGTATCAGTCCCTTGAATGTCCTCTTGTGGTGGTGGGCCCAGGAGGCTTAGAGCTAACAGTGGCTTCTGGGGATTGGGTAGGTAGAGGTTTAGCTTGGTTCCAGGGAGGGAGCTGGCTGGGTTTCCACAGGCATTATCCAGGTACTTCTGTGGGCAAGTTGTTGTTGTTGTTTGTTGTTGTTATGTGCTGTCGAGTTGGACCCAACTCATAGCGACTCCCCTTTGGGTTTCCAAAGCAGTATCACTATGGAAGTAGATTGCCCAACCTTTTTTCCAAGGGATGGCTGGTGGGTTTGAACTGCCAGCCCTCTTATTAGCAGTTAAGTGCCTTAGGCACTGTGCTACCAGAGCTCCCAAAATAATCAAAACACAAAGGAAATAAAATGTAGGATTTATTTTGAGCAGCTATTCTGCATGCATGCAGGGAGATTGTTCTGTTTCTAAAAGCAAGTGGCTAGTTTCAAATAGCAGTAGGACCCATGCTGTACAAGTTTCAGTGGAACCTCCAGACTAAGAGAGATGAAGAAGAAAGGCCTGGCAATCTACTTCTGAAAATTAGCCAATGAAACCTCTATGAATCACCACAGAAAATTGTTCAGTATGGTAATGGAAGATGAACCCCCTAGGTTGGAAAACACTCCAAATGCACAGTGGCAGCAATAGTCTCAAACATACCAATGATTGTAAAGATGGTGCGGGACTGAGCAAAGTTTTGTTCTATCGTACATGGCGTCACCATGAGCCCAAGCTGACTCGACCATGACTAAACAGCAACAACAACCAAGTGCCATCATGCCCATGAATGAAAATGGTGTGATCTTTCCTCTTAAGGTGTTTATAATTGGGGAGAAAGGCATTAATCACAGGGTCAAATTACAGCTACAAATGAAAGTGTTCAAATGCTACATACAAAAGGTGTGTGGTGCTAGAAAGGACCAAAATGGGAGATCCAGGTTGAACTCCCTGAGAAAGTCACCACTGGGTGACAAGTGAAGGAAGGGAGAACAGAGAAAGTGTTTCAGGTATAGACTAGCAGGCGCAAACATGCTGTGGCAAGAGGAAGTATGACACGGAGCTCCAAAAAGTGCCACTCTGTGGGTGGAGTGCAGAGAGGAAGGTGTGTGTGGCAGCTGACAGGTCTGCTAAAGCAGCATTTTTGTCAACTGGGCAGACCCTGCTGACTGGCTCAGGGACATCATTCCACTGTAGAACAGGGGAAGGCCCCAAGAGGTTTGGAGCAGCGGAGGAAACAATGGTAAGATTCATGATCCAGAGGGACCTCTCAGGGCAGCATGAATGTTCTGTGGGGGTAGTAGATTCATGTGGGCTGGTTGGGAGCTTTTGTCGTCCAGGATGAAGTGGGTGATGGTGGTGGCACAGCTGGAGAAAGAGGACAGACTCAAGATATATTTCGTGGGCAAAATTGATAGCACTTGGGTTAGTTGGACCTAGGGGATGAAGGAAATGGGTAACGTGTCCATCTATGTAGCTGGTGGTATAGTGGTGGCACCATTTTCTGAGGTGGGGTAGTATAGAGATGGGATGGAAGCAGGTGAAGGGTTTACTTTGGGCATTTTGAGATGGAGGTACTGTTGAGCTGCCCAAAGGAGCCACCTATGGGCTCTTGACTATATGGGTTTGGAGTCCAAAGAATGACAGTGTCATTTACACACTTGTGTAATGACATAAGAATAGTGCGCAGCAGCCCCCCATGGTGGGCAGGAGAGAGTGAGCAGCCCAGGGGTGGCATGGAGCCCAGCATCTGGGCCACTGCAGCCCTGGGGAAGGCATCAGTCTCACAGGGAGGGAGAGCAGAAGGAGTAAAGACCCCCCTGGCTGGGTCAAGTGGATGGCAGGCGTTCAGGGTTTAGCAAGGAGGGAAAGCCTTCAGGGAATTGAGAGGGAGCAGCTAGAGAGGGAAGAGGAGACAAAAGGTGTCAGAATAAATGAGGAAGACCACATTTTAGAAGGCATGGTGAAATGACAATGGAAAAAAATCTACCGGACTTGGTGGCACAGAATTCGTGGGTGGCATTAGCAAATGCTACATGGGAGGGATAGAAACTGTCTATGTGTATGGAGGTAGAGTGGGTGCACACGTGGCACTACTTTCCAGAGGCTTGGCTGTGATTGGGGAGAGAGGGTACCCATGAAGGCAGGTGGTTGGAGCACAGCCACACCCACACACCTTTTACACATTGTCTATGGCTGGTTTTATGAGAAGTGGCAGAGGTGAGGCACTGCCACAGAAACCTTATGGCCCACAAAGCCTCAAATATTTGTTATCTGGCCCTTTACAGAAAAAGTTTGCTGATGCCTAGATAAAACTGCCTTGTCTATACACTAGACAGGGCACTAGCCATATCTGGCGCCTTGTAATTAAATTATATTTAAATTAATTAAAAGGAAATAAAATAAAATATAAAACTCAGCTGCTTAGTTACACTGGCCCCATTTCAAATGCTCAGAAACCGTATGTGGCTAGTTGCTGCTGTTTGGACAGCATAGGTCTAGAATGTTCCATCATTGCAGAGAGTTCTATTGCATGGTACTGGCCCAAGGACAGCAGAGTAGAAGCAGGACCACATGCACAGCCTTGACCTGCGGTGTTGAGTGGGTGTCCTGAGGAGCTGCAGGACAGGCAGAAGCCACAGAGGAGAAGAGGGGACAGACCTGGGAAGGATTTGAGGGTAAAGGACAGTCTGTGACCATGAGTTACAAGGTCCTCAGGGCTCTGTGGGAGGACTGGGAAGTGCTGTCATGTTTGGGGTATGGCGCCTTCTGGCATTACAGAATGGGACTGTCCCCTTGGAGGCTGAGTGGCACAGTGACCACTGCCTGGGTTCCCAGGACTGTCCTCGTGATGCTGCTGTGTGGAGTTTTCTGGGCAGGGGCTGACTTCATGCAGTGACCTACCCATGCTGAGTGTGCTCAGAGGTTGATGACTCTGTCCTACTCTTCTGTCCCATCCTCCCTCCTGTGTTCCTGTGCTGTGGGTGCTGCCATATGAGTCCTGTGTTGGGAGAAGCTGTGATTCTGTGCCCCTTCAGTTCCAGGACCCTGTGAGCCTGAGGACCTCATCGATGGGATCATCTTTGCTGCCAACTACCTGGGATCTACCCAGCTGCTATCAGAGCGGAACCCATCCAAGAACATAAGGATGATGCAGGCACAAGAGGCTGTCAGCCGTGTTAAGGTAGTGTCTGAGTAGCAGGCAGGCCTCTTTACACCAGCCTATCTGTACCAGGTTCTGATTTACTGGGGAGCATTAAGGTGGGTGTGTATCCAAGAAGGGGCTTCTATGTGTCAGCCCTGTGTGAAAGTGCCCTGACCCCACAGTTCTGGGCAAGAGCAGGGATGCTGGCAGAGGTACCATAAAGGCCCTGGTAACATTGGCTGGGAGGGGAAGATGCTTGGGCTGGGGAAGGCTCACTGCTCCTGAGCATCTGGAAACACGATGTTTATAGCACTCAAGTCATGAAATATGCTTATTTAGAGCCTCAAGTTGCATATAGATGATATATGTATTTTTATGTTCATAGGGGGAGCTCTGATAGCGTAGTGCCTAAGGCACTTGACTGCTAATCAGAAGGCTGGCAGTTCAAACCCATCAGCCACTCCTCGGAAGGAAGATGGGGCAATCTACTTCTGTAGTGATACTGCCTCGGAAACCCAAGGAGGGGTCGCTATGAGTTGGGTCCGACTTGACGGCACATAACAACAACAACATGTTCATAGGAGGGGAGAAGATACGCTGTATGTCTTATTTAAATGCATTACCTCAAAGAACTCTGACACCCCTGCAGATTGTAGGTACATGTTGCACGATCTGGTGTTAGGCTGGTACAGAGCTGGCTGAGGCCGGCAGGGAAGAATGCAGTGAGGTGGTGGCTTGTCTGGGCAGTATGGTACCTAGAGACACTGCCCGTATGTGTTGTTGTTATGTGCTGTCAAGTCAGACCCAACTCATAGTGACCCCTCCTTGGGTTTCCAAGGCAGTATCACTATGGAAGTAGATTGCCCAACCTTCCTTTCCAGGAGTGGCTGGTGGGTTTGAACTGCCAGCCTTCTGGTTAGCAGTCAAGTGCCTTAGGCACTATGCTACCAGAACTCCCATATGTGGGAGATGAGAAATCATGGCAGCCCCACCCCCTCCACCCCACCATGCACTGACTTCCTTTAAAGGAAGCCAAAGAGCAGTGGGCAGCAGCCCCCCATGGTGGGCAGGAGAGAGTGAGCAGCCCAGGGGTGGCATGGAGCCCAGCATCTGGCCAGTGCCCTTAGCAGAGTGGTCTGGGCCACCCTGCCTGCCCCTAGAAACCCATCTCTCTACCCTAGACAGTGACATGCTCTCTGCCAATAGATTATGATTCTTCCTTCCTCAGTCATGCTCCTTGTAGACCGGGATGAGTATCAGTAATTCCTGGGGAGGATTCCTGATCAGCCTGATGAAGGGGTGGCTTGTCCACCTGTGTCCACACAGGTTTTCTGCTCAGTGTTGGGTCTGAGTATCGGGGTGCTGACCATGGCACCAAAATAACACTGCCTCCCCTCCTTCTCTGTGTGTCTTCTGTCTGTTTTTCCTTTCTCTTATCTGCTGCACAGAGGATGCAGAAGGCTGCTAAAATCAAGAAGAAAGCGGTGTGTAAGACTGTTACCTGGAAAATAATGCTTACTTGTATTGCTGTGTCTTGTCCCATGCATTGGGGTTTTCCATGAGGAACATAAATAATACTGGAAAGCAATTTTTTCCTTTTCTCTTGGTAGATGAGTATTAGACTTTTGAGTAGAACCAGGAGACTTTTTTTTCATCACCTACCTACAGAAGAATGTAATAGTTGTTCACTTTTCCTTTTCTGTTTTAGACCATTCACTGCTTTAGAGCATGGCTAACATAATGATGTTACTGTTTTATGTAGACATCTCTAACTATGCTGGTGGCATTTGATGTGACAGTGTGATGTATCTAGTGCCAAGGCTTCCTGTACAGTGCCAATTAGATTGTTCTGATATTTAAAGGCTCATTAAGTTTAATCTGTTAGATCAGGATGACGGAGAGCTCGGGTTACCCGTGAGATACATTCTCTATTGAAAGTATGTTCTGGAGCATGGACAGACTTAAATATGGGGCAGATATCTAGTCTTTAGTTTATCAGCCTACTCATTTAGTAAGTGCAGTTATCCTCATCCTACAGAAGATTTCAAAGAGCTCAGGGTCAGGAGGCCCAGGGCAAATACATGGGGAGCCAGCATTGGCGTATCAGCCTGTCATTTCTGTTTAAACAGCGAGATATGTGATCCTCCTTACCCTGCTCCTGACATCAGACCATTTCCTGGGGATGTGGCCAGCAAGCCCTGGTGGCTCCCTCTGCCATGATGTATCTCTCAAACTGTGGCACTCTTCTCACCCAGTGGTGTTTCTGGCATCTCCTTTCATTCCCCTTTGGCCATAGGAGAGGGGGAGCTTCTATGTCTCACTTGCCCAAGCACAAGTCCTACTGGATGCTTCTGGGAAAAGCAGACTGGGCTGGACTTTGCAAACCTGCATATGGGGTGGGGCTCTCCCTAGGAAGAGGGGTACATGCCTGCATCTCCCATGCCCCACACCAGGACAGCTGAAGCAGAGGGGCCCTTACTCAAGTTCAGAGATCTACCCAGTCAAGCTCCTAAGAGTCAGATGCAGACAGACCCTGTGCTGAAAAGACTCTGTGGCAGTCCAGGTGGCCACCCAACCCCATTAAACTCAGGGTTTTGCTTCTTTCTTACGGAGTAAGATGCTTAGATCACTTCACAGGACCCCTTTTCTGGTGCTCCTACACCTAGGGAGGCAAATGGATTGCCCAGAAGCAAGCATGAGCCTGGAGTGGCATCCCCATTATAGAAACCCCAGCACTCAGGCTGACTGATGATATGTGACTCTAAGATCCCAGCTTCCGTCATCACATGTGTGGAGGCCCACTTGATCCTCTACTGTCTCTTTGTGGGATCTTCATGGTTGATAGTTCCTTACATCTGGCACTCTTCACTGTTACTGATTAGGTTCCTACTCCCTCTGTGTACCCATGACCTGAGCTTCATCGGCTTCCAGTTAGCCCCTCTTCTTGGGTCAAATTCACTGAAAGGTTCATTTTTCCTTTAAAATTTCCACTGCAGTCAAGGCACTCATCTTCAACTCTTGTAAGTAACTTCTGGCTCGGTCTACTTTAAAAACCAGTTGCCATCAAGTTGATTCCAACTCATGGCAACCGCATGTGTGTTGCTAGCTTACTTTAGTAAGAAGGCTTTGGGCTACTGCCACAGAATATTACCTTTAAAAGCATGTTTATGGAAAATAGAACTTAATTTTTTAAAACAGAAAAAGTAGTTACTCCATAGTCCTGCAGACTATTCTCAGCTAGAGCGTTGGGGCTCTGTTATCTTTCTAATCAGTTAAGAGGTATGGTGGACTAAAAGTCCCAAAGATCTTTTCCCTTGAAAGCTGAGCTAAAATACAAATTTATCATTGTAATACAAGACTTCAGTCAAAACACCAAACTCACTGCCATCGAGTTGGATCGGACTCATAGCGAGCCCTCCTTGGGTTCCAAGGTGGTATCACTATGGAAGTAGATTGCCCAACCAACCTTCCTTCCAAGGAGTGGCTGGTGGGTTTGAACTGCCAGCCTTCTGGTTAGCAGTCAAATAATTCATAAGGAATTGTTAGTAGGGAGGCTTTTTATTTTAGACCTTCTAGTGAGAAATTAAATCACAGTTCCTGCTGTTGTGAAGTAAAAATTATGCCACCATGGGCTCCTAAGTAACCACAAAGAATGACTTGCCTCAGTGAGCAAGCAAAAGGAATTTGTATTTCATTGCCACTACACTGTAGTAGGGAGTTCTGGTGGGGCATGGTGTCTAAGGCATTTGACTGCTAACCAGAAGGCTGGCAGTTCAAACCCCACAGCTACTCCTCAGAAGGAAGACTGGGCAATCTACTTCCATAGAGATACCACCTCAGAAACCCAAGGAGGGATCACTATGAGTCAGAACCAATTCAACAGTAGTGAGTTTGTTTTTGCTTTGTTTTTGACACTCTAGTAATCAAGACTCCCAACCAATCCAATTAGAAGCTATCCTGGATCGGACAGACTTGTGGTTCACTCCGCTTCCAAAACAATCCATTTAAACATATCTAAGGGCCTTATGAAAGGAGCTCTGGTGGCATAGTGGCTGATAACCAGAAGGTCAATGGTTCAAACCCACTAGCTGCTCCACAAGAGGAAGATGAGGCCTTATGAGGGGAATGGTGGTTCAGTGGTAGAGTTCTTGCCTTCCACGAGAGAGACCCAGATTCAATTCCCAGCCAATGCACTTCAGTGCAGCCACCACCCACCTGTCCTTGGAGCTTGAGTGTAGCTATGATGCTGAACAGGTTTCAATGGAGCTTCCAGACTAAGAACAGGAGGAAAGGCTTGGTCATCTATTTCTGAAAATCAGCCAATGAAAACTCTATGGATTATAGCAGTCCAATCCACAACTGATCATGGAAACGGCACAGGACCAGGCAGTGTTTCATTCCATTGTGCATGGGGTCACAGTGAATCCAGGAACAACTCAACAGCAGCTATCAACAACAAGAGCCATATAATGAGCACACTCTAGTGGTGATCACAAAACACAGTCATTTGTTTTTTCTGGGTTCTCTGTGTCATCCTAAAGGCAGCACCCAGGCAGTGAGTCCAGGCCCAGGTCTTGTTCACCTGAGCATTTTTGGAAGACTGGGGCCAAGGCTGCTTGCTTGGGAGCCCACATGATTGTGACTGTTTAAATCAGAAGGAAATACTGATATTTTTATCTAGCTTCTTTTACAATTTCTTCCCCTTATATGGGGATATTTGGAATCCAGAATCCAAGGAATGTACCTCAGAACCCTGGGCTTCACTGGATATGTCAGTTAGCAGGCAGGGACCCTACTTTGAGTGGAGGGGCTGCACTCTGGACGCTAGAACATGAGACCGCCTAACGCCTCTTGATGTTAAGTTCTGGCTGCTGGCTCTCCTTCCTTCTCTCTGTCCTTCAAAAACTGCCTTTAGACACACACCCAACCCCAGTCCCACAGGAAGGCTGCATGCATCGGTGCTTTCTGATGGCTGATTCCCCTTGGGGAGCATTTCCTTCAGTATAGGGTCAGAAATGAGTAAAATTGTCAGGCCTCTGCTCAAGGTAATGTTTCTGGTTTGTCACCATATAAACTGTCCTTTCTTAGAATTCTGAGGGGGATGCCCAGACGCTGACTGAAGTGGACCTCTTCATCTCCACTCAGAGGATCAAGGTTCTAAATGCAGACACACAGGTAAGTACTGAAAGGACAGCTATGTAAAATCTTACAGACTAATGCCTTGTTTAAAGTCCCTTAGTGGTAAAAATTGTTAATGTTCTCAGCTGCTAACTAAGAGGTTGATGTTGGAGTCTACCCAGAGGTTCCTGAGGAGAAGGGCCTAATGATCTACTTCCAAAAGATCAGCCACTGAAAACCCTGTGCAACAGTTCTACTCTGACACACATGAGGTCACCATGAGTAGGAATAAACTCAACTGGGTTTATTTTAAACTCCTAGTACTGTTCCATCATAGGGACAAACTCTGAAAACAAATTTTAGGTAAGAAGACTTCTCTCTGTCTGGTGTTTGGGTGAGAAGGCATTAGTAGAGTGGTGACCATCATCTCTGGTTGCAATTATAAAATGGAGTGCATGTTGCAGGAGGCTGAGGAGAATGAAAATGGGAAAGATAAAAACTGTCAAGGGGGGTACACATCTATTTCAATTGGATTAAATAGAGACAAAGTGAAGGAAAGGTGGGGTGAGTCAGAAACTGTGTGCTAGTTGCCATGATTCTAGAGTGGCCTTCCTGAAACCTTCACTTGCTGAGCCTGGGAAATCCAGCTGGAGGCTGCGAATCCTGTGGTGGCCCACTGCCCTCAGGGTGGTGGCATTTCAGCAGTGAGGCGTCTGAAGGATTTTCTAACAGTAGTTGACACCTGTGAGCCAGATACCCCCTGCCAGGGGCCACAAGCTTGACTGTCTTAGTCTCCTAGCGCTGCTATAACAAAATACCACAAGGACGTGGCTTTAAAAAACAGAATTTATTCTCTCACAATTCTGGAGGCTAGAAGTCTGAATTCAGGATATCAGTAGGGTGGGCCATGCTTTCTCTCTCTCTCTCTCTCTCTCTCTGGCGCTCTCTCTCTCTCTATTTTTCTCTCTCTCTCTTTCTGTCTCTTTCTGCTGGCTCTAAGGAAAGATCCTTCCTTGTCTTTTCCAGTTCCAGCAGCCCTGAGAGTTCCTTGGTATCCCTTAGTTTGAAGAGTGGTCCTCATATATATCTCCCCTCAGTGTGACTATTTGAGAAGAATGGGGATTCCAGAACATATAATTGTACTCATGAGGAGCCTGTGCATAGTCCAGGAGGCTGATGTTCAAACAGAACAAGGGAATATTGCATGGTTTAAAATCAAGAGGGTGTGTGTCAGGGTTGTATCCTTCCACCATACTTATTCAATCTGTATGCTGAGCAAATAATCTGAGAAGTTGGACTATATGAAGAAGAACTTGGAATCAGGATTGGAGGAAGAGTCATTAACAACCTGAGATAGATATGCTGACGGCACAACTTTGCTTGCTGAAAGAGAGGATGACTTGAAACACTTACTGATGGAGATTTGAAAAATACAGTCTGCAGTATGGATTGTTGTTGTTGTTGTTATTTGCCGTCGAGTCGGCCCCGACTCATAGCGACCCCTCCTTGGGTTTCCAAGGTGGAAAGGATTGCCCAACCTTCCTTCCGAGGAGTGGCTGGTGGGTTTGAACCGCCAGCCTTCTGGTTAGCAGTCAAGTGCCTTAGGCACTATGCTACCAGAGCTCCTGAAGTATGGATTACACTTCAATATAAAGAAAACAGAAATCCTTACAACTGGACCAACAAGCAGCATCATGATAAATGGAGAAAAGATTGAAGTTGTCAAAGACTTCGTATTACTTGGTTCTACAGTCAACACCAATGTAAGCAGCAGTCAAGATATCAGATGACGTATGTTGTTGTTGTTACATGCTGTCAAGTCAGACCCGATTCATAGCGACCCCTCCTTGGGTTTCTGAGACAGTATCACTACGGAAGTAGATTGCCCCATCTTCCTTCTGAGGAGTGGCTGGTGGGTTTGAACCACTAGCCTTCTGATTATCAATCAAGTGCCTTAGGCACTATGCTACCAGAGCTCCCCAGATGACATATAGCACTGGCCAAATCAGCTGCAAAAGACCTCTTTCAAGTGCTGAAGAGCAAAGATGTCTCCTTGAGGACTAAGGTGCACCTGACACAAGCCCCATGGTATTTTCAATTGTCTCATATGCATGTGAGAGCTATACAGTGAATAAGGAAGACTGAAGAAGAGCAGATGCTTTTGAGTTGTGGTGTTGATGAAGAATGCTGAAAGTACCATGGACTGCTAAAAGAACTAAAAAATCTGTTCTGGAAGAAGTGCAGCCAGAATGTTCCTTGGAAGCAAGAATGGCCAGACTTTGTCTCACCTACTTTGGTTGTGTTGGAAGGAGAGACCATTCTCTGGAGAAGGATATCATGTTTGGTAAAGTGGAAGGTCAACAAGAGAGGGGAAGGCCCTCAACCAAATGAATTGACACAGTGGCTGCAATAATGGGCTCAGGTGTAGCAGGGTTTGTGGAGCTGGCACAGGACTGGGCAGTGTTTCATTCTGTTATACATAGGGTCGTTATGAGTCTGAGACAACTCGACAGCACCTTACAACAACTCAGAAGGGATTAGGATTTGGACCCACCCTACTCAGGTATGACCTTGTTTACTTTACTGATCATTTTCATGAGTGCAAGGGTCAGGACATAGTTCAGTCCATTAATACTGACCGTGATTCTGCTCCTACATTTCATACCTGAATCACTTCATAGAGATGATCAACAGTGGGGATGACAATAAAATAAGTAAATAAGGAAAACCAAACTCATTGCTGTTGAGTCATTTCTGACTCACAGCAATCCCTCCTTGGGTTTCTGAGGTGTTATCTCTACACAATAGATTGCCCAATCTTCTTTCCAGTAGTGACTGGTGGGTTTGACCCTCCAGCGTTCTGGTTGGTAATTATATTCCTTAGGCACTATGCCACCAGAGCTCCCCATAAATAAGGACGAAGTGACCATATACCAAGTAAAAAGGACCATGATCTGAGATGGAGAGTTCTGGAGCAGGGAATCCATGAGTACTGATTTCATGGAGGGAAGTCAGAGAAAGGGACTTAATGGGTAAGAGGGAGCTGGCTGTGGGGAAAGGAGAGGAAGGGCCCCACTCACACTGGGGACCCAAAACTCCATTACTTGGCCTGTATAATGCTGGCCAGACACCCAGTGTAAAGATACCTTTGCTCCTTGTAACAGAAACCCCAAGACCATGTGGATGCTCCTTAAACCTCTGCCTCAAGCTCTTAGAATCCATTGACAATCTTGCCCAAATTGGTTACAACATTGGCAATGCAAAATAGTGACTTTCTAATTATGTCATGCTTTCTGCATTTATCATTGGCTTTCTTTTATAAAGAAGAGTGCAGTCCAGTGAATTGCTTCATATGGCCCTTCTAGCCATCATCCTCCATTTTCTGATGTATTATAAATCCTAATCCCTATGCCAGGAGCTCTGGTAGCACAATGCCTAAGGCACTTGACTGCTAACCCAAAGGCTGGTGGTTCAAATCCACCAGCCACTCCTGGGAAGGAAGGTTGGACAATCTACTTCTGTAGTAATACCACCTTGGAAACCGAAGGAGGGGTCACTGTGAGTTGGGTCCGACTTGATGGTAAACAACAACAATCCCTATGCCTGTTTAGGGTGGGATGCATCTTGAGTCCCACCTTGCTGGAGGGTATGACTCAAGTCACCACCATTAGCTTCTGTGAGGGTATATAGAGAATGTTCTGGGAAAATTTGCTCTCTCTTGCTCTGGTTCTGCATTTTGTTCATCATCATCTCATCCCTGGACTTGAGACAGCAGCCATCATCTGACCCACTGATTTGGGTTCACCAACCCCTGCAACCATGTGATTTGGGAGAATCCTCTAGACCTACCTATAGACCTGGGACTTGTCAACCTGCCAGCCTCCCAGCCTCCACCACCACCACCACCACCACGTGAGCCATTCCCTTGGGAGTTTGTGAGTTCCATGAGACGTTGCAGTGAACTATGGAACCCTAAGACAGGACAGAGATTATTGAGGGAAGGAGGGGGAGTTGATGGCAGAGATGATGGAGTGGCATGGCACTTTTGAAATGTTGGATATTTGGGACATTTTTAACCTCTGCCTAGGGACTGGCCATGTGCTGATCTTTCTAAGAGAAAATATTCAAGCAAAGAACATTTCCTTTTTTCTTCTCATTTTTTCCATCTCTTTTCTGAAGTTCTGCTATGGATTCTTAGATTCTTTTTTTTCCCCCCTCATTGTGTTGTGATCCATTACCACTGTTACTATTCTTTTTGCTGATTTAGATTGCTCTAGATTGGCCCAGGGCCTTCATCCTTGCTTCCTGAGACAAGCAGATGTTCTGAGCTCACCTGGGACTTCCCTGGCCCCAAACCTGGACCAGCCATTTCTTCAAGGAGTCCTATTCTTTTTAGTGGGGAATGGGCTTTAGAAACCAATATATGGGTGCTGAATGGTCATTGCTACTGAGTGTCACTGCTCCTTGGCCTTTTCAGTGAAAAGAGCTTGTGTGTGTGTGTGTGTGTGTGTGTATACCAAATCAACTACCATCAAGTCAATTCCAACTCAAAACGACCCCCATTGGGTTTCTGAGGTGGTAAATCTTTATGGAAGTAGATTGCCCAGTTTGCTTCCAAATATATATATATATATATATATACAAATATATGTGTGTGTGTGTATGTGTGTATATATATATGTGTGTGTGTGTGTATTTTCAATCTCAGAAGGAAGGTTGGGCAATCCTACTTCCGTAGTGATACTGCCTCAGAAACCCAAGGAGGGGTCGCTGTGAGTCGGGTTTGACTCGACGGCACATAACAACAACAACAACAACATATTTTTAATTGCCTCATATGCATGTGAAAGCTGGACAATGAATAAGGAAGATTGAAGAATAGTTGATACTTTTGAGTTGTGGTGTTAGCGAAGAATACTGAAAGTACCATGGACTGTCAGAAGAATGAACAAATCTGTACTGGAAGATGTGCAGCCAGAATGCTTCTTGGAAGTGAGAATGGCTAGACTTTGTCTCACCTATTTTGGTCATGTTGTCAGAAGGGACCATTCCTCGGAGAAGGATATCATGCCTGGTAAAGTGGAGATTCAGGGAAAAAGGGAAGGACCCTCCATAAGATGGATTGACACAGTGGCTGCCATGATGGGCTCAGGTATAGCAAGGATTGTGAGGATGGTGCAGCACCAGACAGTGTTTCATTCTGTTGTACGTAGTATCGTTATGAGTTGGAGCCAACTTGATGGCACCTAACAACAACAACAACATATGTGTATGTATATATATTAAAGTCATGAATTCATACTTGGAGCTCCTGTTCAAGACCAGTACCACAGGGCTATCCCCACCATGCTCAATTCCATACTCACTCTTGTCTAGTAGTATACCTCCTCATTCCCAACAGCATTAGTTCACTTTCTTATTGGCTCTGTCCTACAGTATATCTGATGCTCTTATCACGGGGCTGCTGGGAGAGCACAGGGAGTGAAGCAGGTACCAAGTGAGTCCTGGGTCATCCCCAGGACTCAGTGGGTGGGAGGTGGGTGGGAAGTTCTGTGGGGAGACCTAAGCCCCTTTTCTGGACCCTACTCTTGGACCTTAGTAGATCTGTTCTCTCACCATCTTCAGGGGGACCCCTGATGTTTGAGAATGAACAGGACAGCAGAGCATGTCTTAAAGCTATTATATACCCATTAAGGGATTGCTGCCCACTGCCAACCTAGCACCTTGTTGCTTTCCCCCTACCTGGAGGTCCCTGGCACCTCTGTGGGGACTCCCTCCCCCCTCAGATGCCTTCCCCCCATGCCCAGGCCTGTGCTTTCCTTCAAGTACTCGTCCCACTGACCTTTCTGTCTTGCTCTAACCCTGGATCCTGGCACTTGGTGGGAACCTGGAGAGATACTTTTTACCCCTGGAGTAAGCAGTTAGTAGTCAGGCATTTGGCTTGTGATATTTCACAGACTTGGATTTTGTTTCCTAATCTTTCATCAGCAAACTGGACAGATCCCAGACCTCCTGCTCCTTTACCCTCACCCCTTGTCTATTCACCTCTGTCATGTGTCCCCACAACCTCCTCAAGCTTGATGATTCATTAGGAGGATGTACAGTGCTGAACACATGGCCATCTTCATGGCTATGATTTATTACAGTGGAAAAGGACAAACAAAATCAGCAAAGGGAAAGGAGCATAGGGTGAAGTCTGAGGAAACCAGGTACCAGCTTCCATGGGTGCTCCTCCAGTGAAGTCACACAGGGCTTGCTTAATTCTCCCAGCAATAAGTTGAGACAACACTTGTGAAAGATTGGCTATTGGAAAGCTTATTAAAGACTCAGCACCTAAGGTTTCTACTGGGGGCTGGTCATGTAAGCAGCCTCTGTCTAGAACATAACCAAATTCTAGACTCCTGGAAGGAAAGCAGGGGTTCAGTATCAACATCAACTACATTGTTTGCACAGTTCAGGCACTGTAAGCAGGCCTCCTATTTAAGGCTCACCTAGTCTCAGGTTCATCCTTTTCAGCACACCACCCTCCAGTTGATACACATGGGAGAGTGCTGCCACCTAGGGGTTGGGAGTTTGGGCCTGGAAATGGAAAGGGATCCATCACTATGAATTGTGTAACCTTTTTGAAGTTCCTAAACATCTCTGGTAGCATAGTGGCTAAGGCACTTGACTGCTAACCAGAAGGCTGGCGGTTCAAACCCACTAGCCACTCCTCGGAAGGAAGGTTGGGCAATCCTACTTCCGTAGTGATACTGCCTCGGAAACCCAAGGAGGGGTCGCTATGAGTCGGGGCCAACTCAACGGCAAATAACAACAAAAATCTCTGGGGAGCTCTGGTAGCATAGTGCCTAAGGCACTTGACTGCTAACCAGAAGACTGGCGATTCAAACCCACCAGCCACTCCTCGGAAGGAAGGTTGGGCAATCCTACTTCCGTAGTGATACTGCCTCGGAAACCCAAGGAGGGGTCGCTATGAGTCGGGGCCAACTCGACGGCAAATAACAACAACAAAAAACATCTCTGAGCCCCCATTTACTCTTTAAAATAGAGGTGGGGATAAACTTCCTGCCAGTTCCTGTGAAGGGGGGATGAGAGGACCCAAAGATTGCATGCAGCTTAGGGCCTAGCCCAGGGCAGGGGCTCTGGCCCCCTTCCCCAACCCTCCCTTTGCTCTTTCTGTGTTTTAGGTTTTTGTAGTTTGTGAGTTTGTTTAGGATGAACTGGAAGAGAGATTTGAAGTGATAAATAGACTTGACTGACAAATACAGATATTGGTAGAGGAGCTGGAGAGGTGGGAACAGATGAGAGAGATTGCAGAGGCTGAGGTGACCAGTTGGGACAAGAGTGAGGACAGAGGCCATGCTGATGGGCACCTGTGTCTGCCAGGAGGGTGGCTCTGCCATTGCCATAAACTGAGAGTTCTGGAGAGACAAGTTTATGACACCTGGGGTCTGATTTGGGCATTTCTGACAAAGACCAGTAACCAGGGGATGTTGAAGAACCAATCCCACCTGTCCCCTTTCCAGTGTCCTTCCCTCTTATGGTTATAAACCATCCTCTGAGCTTGGGCCAGAAGACAAATTAGCACCAGAGACAAATGTGGGGCAATATCCACTGCAAAAATGGATTCAGTGAGGAAGAATAGGGCTTCAGAGATTGTAGGAGCACCCTGTTTCCTTTTGTGGAAGGAGTACAAAGGCACAAAAGACCAACCGATTGGTTTTTCAGAGCCTTTGTGTGCTGTCTTGTTGGTGGGGATTGTGGGGAAGATGTTTGAAGGAGATTCCTGTCAGACAACAAAACCTGTCAGGAGTAATGACCTGCTGAGGGGCAAGGACCCATGGAGATGGCTAGTCAGAGTCAGGCATGCTGCCTCAGTGCTCCTAACCAGGCCAAGCTGCCTGGACTCCCTGCAGAGGAACCCCCGCTCCCATTGCATGTGAGAAGTTGGCCTGGGTTTCCTCCTATGCTCAGTGGAACTTCTCAGGCAGGCCATTGTTGGTAGATGTGAGAGCACTGACCTTGCCTAGAGCCACCTCTCATCAAGGTGGGGGGGGAGGCTCCCCCAGATAGTGGCCTCCTGCTCTTTCTCCATCAAGGCCAGAGGTTCCACACTGCCATCATACCTCTATGAGCATTGGTGAAGTTCCATTTTGGAAGTTGCGGCTGAAGTGAAGGCAGATGCAGTTTTCCTGTGCACCACCCTAAAATGCTCTGTGAGCTAGAGCAGAACACTTACCCTGAGTAAGTGCCCTCCAGAGCACATTTGCTTAGTACAACTTTGTGTGCTGTTGGCATCTAGTGGGTAGAGGCCAGAGAAACTGCTAAACATCCTGTAATGCACAGGACATCCCCCACCACAAAGAATGATCCACTCCAAAATTTCAGTAGTGCTGAGGTTGAGAAACCCAAAATTAGTGTGTTCCTTAACAGCTCGATTCCCCTACACCACACCCTTCTCCCCACCCCCCCCACAGGAAACAATGATGGACCATGCCTTGCGCACCATTTCCTACATTGCTGACATCGGAAACATCGTGGTGTTGATGGCTAGGCGTCGCATGCCCCGGTCAGCATCACAGGATTGCATCGAGACCACACCTGGGGCCCAGGAGGGGAAGAAGCAGTACAAGATGATCTGCCATGTGTTTGAGTCAGAGGACGTAAGTACACACACAGGCGCCCCAGTGCAGCTCCAGCCAAATGTTAGTGGAAATCCTGCTGTCAGTCTTGATGTTTCCAATACAGTTGGTGACTTTTCCTAACAGTCTGAGTTTGCATAGACAGCAAATGTAGTTTTAATTCACTTTGTAAAATAAGTTCTCCAGGAAGTTTTATAAATTGAGCTGTAGTTCAGTATACTAGGGGATCTTCCAACTGAAAAACACATTTCACAAAACCTTTTTCCTCCCTAAAATAAAATAATCCTAAACTAACTTTTCTGTTATTAAGATGCACATTTTCAGATGCCAGGTTTGTGTCAAAAGAGGTGCCTCTGTACCTGAGGCAAGGGTTTAGCTGTTTTCACATGTGGCATTTCACCTAATAACAAGGTAGAAAATGATTCTTAAGTTTAAAACACTTGCTAAGAGGCCATAACCCTTGACTCATTCCTTGAGTGAGATGAGAGCATCTTTATAGGCCTGAAGTAAGAATAAAGGGCCAAGGAGGGAAGTGACAGGACCAAGAGGTGAGCTCAGGAGGGTGGGTTGGGCCCTGGTCTCTGAGCAGAAGCCCCTGAAGGCAGCTCTTCCTTAGGGATTACAACCAGGCTGTTGTTGCCCGAGTAGAGTTAAAAAATATTTTCTGATCCCCATGGGCACTCAGCAAGGACATTCTTGTTCACATAAGGATTTGAAGGTGTCCTAGGGACTTGGAACAAGAGGGAATGATCTCAATATTTCCATGATCATGAAATAAGACTTAGAAACTTAATATCTGACCCAGTGTTTGAAAACGGGGTGTAGTGGGTGGGGGCAGCAACCTTTTTCCTAACAATTTGAACTCAACTTGAAGTGCTCTGAAGCAGTGCTATAATGGAGGAAATTTAAATATAAGCCTGCAAACGCACACACAATTCTTTCCTCCATTACATAGTATCCATGGATACCTGAGAAGGCCTTTTGTGTGAGCATATCTTAGTGACCCACAATGGTGGGGATAGGCCCTTCAGAAGGGCTGTGAGTGGTGGGTGGCATAAGGCAAGAAGCAAGCCAAGGGGCAAAGAGAGCATAGTCAGTCAAGGAGCAGGGAGCAGGAAAGCCTTCGAGGTGCTGGCCAAGACACAGATGGGCCTTCGCATAGAGATGGTACCAGTCATGGGGAGAAGTTGGGGGGAGCTGCCACAGCCTCAGTTTTCTCAATTTGGTAGGAAACAAGTCTGAGAGTAAAAGGGTTTTGGGTGAGAGGATCTAGAGGCCAGTGTGGAGGCTAGAAGTGATCCTTGAAGGAATGAGGGAAAGACCTGACTGCCTTGGGCCAAGTAGAGCCAGGCCAGCCCAGGTAGGGTATAAATGGCCCAGGAGGCTTCTCTGTGCAAGTGGGCTGCTGGTGTATGCACAGGGGACCAGGGTCTGGTAAGAGCAGAGTGAAGCACCAGGGAGGAAGGGAAAGGTAGTGGTAAGGACATCACTGCCCCTTCTGAGTGTTGGTTTCTCCCTGTACAGTGGAGCTCAGCTGTTCCAGGGCTGTGGCAGGATAGATGAGGCCAGTGAAGGTGCTTGGTACAGACTAGAGCCCACTATCTCCACTCCCCATCATGACCTCCTTGCCCAGAGCCCACCTGTAGGAGGGCCCTTTGAGTACCCCACTCACTGATCCCCTCCACACCAGCCCTGGGATCTGCCTGGGCAGGGCTCCTAGGTCCCAGTAGGAAACTCCAGGTGAGCTGGGCCAGGCAGGTGAAGTCCTGGAGAGAGCCCTCAAGAGTCAGCCCCTTCACCCATGTAGAGAGGACCAGAACACAGGGTGAGAGGGGAAATGGGGAAGAGAAGCAGGCAGGTGGAGGAAAGTGAAGGGTTCTCTGGAGCCTCCTTTGAAGGAGACTTATATCCCCATGGTGCTCCTGGGCTTTGGCCTGCAGGGGAATATGGGCCTGAGGGGTCTCAGAGGGGACCCAAGAGAATGACTGCTGAGTCCAAGGTCCATTGGCAGTCAGGGCCAGGTTCTCGGATAGAGGTTCTTAAGTCTCCCATTCCAGTTGGGTGACCTTATGCCCTTACGCAAGTTCCTAACATAGGGGAGGAGGGAAGTAACCCGAGATTTGGGGAGGCGATACAGCATCCACATACCCTAAAGACCTCAGATGGGGCAAGGCACATCTTGCCTGCCCTGCTGCCCCTATGCCCTCCACCCTGAGACTGGCTCTTCTGAAGGCTGACCCCCTTGTGGGCCCACCCACACCCCAGAGTGTACATGTGATCAAGGTCCTTCAGCTGTGTATTTGGGTAGCTCTCACCACTGCACACACTGCACACCTTCCCACCACCTGTGAATGTCCAGTCCAGTGGTGCCACCTGGAGGCCCCACCTTGGTAAACCTCAGAGACCCATTTTCCCTAAGGGGTCAGCATGGTCCCACTCCTAAGTTGCAGACATGGGGTGGCAGGGCTTGTTTTGAGTCCACAGTTTGGGGCCCCATTTGGGGTGAGCCATTCAATATAAAATCAGCACTCCTGAAGGAAGGCTTCTGTGTTCTGCATTTATCATTTGGCCCAGCCCTCTTTCACATGCATACACTCATGGGCAGTACTTAAGTCATGTAATGTGTAGAGTAAGAAGGAATGTAGGCATTTAGGTCACATCCCTCATTCTCATGGACTAGTTTTGTTGACCCAAGGTTTGCTCCGCTGCCTATGTGCAGGGCTCTTTGATGAAAATGGATGAGAGCTGGAGGGTAGGGGTGGGGTGGGGAAGGTTGGGCGTGGGGGTGGTGGACAAGGGCTGGGATACTCTGTAGGAATTGATGGTCTGGGGTGCTCTGGGGAAAAAGACATAGATAGTCAGAGGTGCTCTTTGGGGAGGCAGCTCTGCTGTTGGCTGAGAAGTCACAAATCCCATTGCTACCTGAGGGTACATAGCTGTGTGTATGCTAGGCATTGAGCTGGGCTATACCTCCCTCCTCCCCACTCTCCCCTCTCCTTGGCTGCAGAAGAGGCCCTTCAATGATCTTTGGATGCCCAGGATCTGCAGTGACAGTGCTGAGGTTTGAGGAAGGAGCCTGTGATCAATGACATCCATGAAGGTTCACCTCAGTTGGAAGAAGTGATTTGTTCTGTGGGGTCTGTGCCCTGCTCAGAGCTGGTGGCCTGCCCATGAGGTCACAACAGAATGAGCCCAGCTGGGTTATAGCTCACAGGGAGAGCTCTGTGTGCTGCAGGGCAGGAAGAGCCCCAAACTCTCTGATCTAACAGGCTCTACCTCTGAGCTGTGCCACTTCAGGAAGCAAACACCACTCTCCTTCACTTCAGCACTTTTCTGGTATTATCTGTGTGCTTCTTCTTTCTGGAAGGCCAGAAGGAAAATGCTGCCCAGGGTAGCTCTGGGTACCCGGCTCCTCCTTGCCCCCTGCCCCCTTCCAAGGAAGGCTGCCTTGCTGGGTGAGCAGACCCTGTGAAGCTCCAGGGGACTGATGAGACCCAAGTCCTTGCTCAGGCTATTCTCTCTCCTACAGCACCCTCTCCCTGCTTTTTACTATCCTTCACCCCCACCACCTCTGAAAGCCCATACTCTGATGCATCCTTGACTTTTTTCAGTGCTTAGTGCTGAAATAGCATCTTAGTTGTGAGATGGGGCTAGAAAGTCAGCTGTCCAAAAAACAACTGAGATGCTATTTCTTTTCTTTGGACTTTCAGGTTAGTTTTCCTGTCTTCTTTTTTTGAATCCACATCTTCTTACCTCCTCAGGAGGATGTCTTCAAGTTTCTTAGGGTATGAGAAAGGTGATCTATTTAAATAGATATGTCTGGAAATGTGTCTTTTACCTTTATTCTTAAATGGATAGTTTTGCTGGGTATTGACATCTAGGTTGACACTACCCACCCCATCTCAGACATTAAAGCTGTTGCCTCACTGTCTTGTAGCATCCACTGGTGTTAAAAGTCTGAGTCCATTCTTATTCTTATTCTTCTGTAGGTGACTTTTGTTTTCAGTCTAGAGGATTTAAGGATTTTATTTATTCTTCATGTTCTAAAATTTCATAACAACAGTTCTTTGGGCATGAGTCTTTTAAAAATTGTCCTCAGCATTTGGTGGGTGTGTATAATCTGTTGTCTCATTTCTTTCCTAAGCTCTGAGATGTTTCTATTAATTTTTTAATGAATCCATGCCCCACTTTGGCAGATTTGGGGTCTCCTGATAGTTCATCTGAAGCTCACATATTTTTTTCTCTAGTTTTCCATCTCTGTTTTGTTGTTCTTGTTTATTTTGCTACATGATTTGAAAAATATTCTTTATATTGAATTTTATGTCAATAATGATATATTTTATTTCTAAAAACTATTTTGCATGTTCTTGTTGTTCCTTTTTCCACAGCATCTTGCTCTTGTTTTATGGATGCCATATTTTTGTGAAGCTCTCTGAAGATACCAAATAGAATTTGTATGTATGTTTGTTTGAAGTTCTTTTCTGTCCCCTGAATTACTGTTTCTTCTAAAAGCAGCTGTTCTGTTTATCTTGGTCCTTCTCTTTCCTGCTGCTGGCTTTTCTCATATGACTGGTGACCTCTGATTTTTGGTTTGCATTTAGATTGGAGGACATTGCCAACCTAGTGAGATTATCCTCTTTGCTTTCTGTGTTGGCATGTTTGTGCCATTTTTCCTTAAGAAGGTAAGGTAGAGGGTGCTTTGCATTTGTGGGCAGGGCACAGCTTGCACCAGCTCACTTTCTTTGGGATGAGGCTTCTCATGGTTTACAGAGTATTTGGAAATGTGCAAACGTCTGTGGGATACTTGTGATTTTCACCATCACTAGAAGGTATTACTTAGTGGGTGAAAGTAGAGATGCCAGATATTCTTCCTTGAATGTGATGGTCCTGCACAAGGAGGAATTATCCTTTCTCAAATGCTGGCGGTGGGCTGGCAGGGAAGCTGTCTGGGCTGAAGATGGTCAAGTGCCATATTGACGTGGCCTTCACTTTGAGACTCCAACACTCAACTGTTGTTGTTTGCCATTGAATCAATTCCAACTTATACCCTATTTCTCCCTGGGAAGTTTGCACAATTTCTTTTGAAATAGCAAGGAGTGGAGAGAGAGAGAGAGGAAAGAAGAGCAGAATGAAAGGATAGAAGGAAGGAAAGAGGAAGGAGGGAGGGAGGGAGGAAAGGAGGGCAGGAGAGAGGAAGGAAGAAGGACAGATAATACTCATGATTCTGCCTGTAATCTTCATGTGTAAGAGTAGAAAGGCATCTGTGGCACCCACTAGCCCAGTTGTCTAAGGTCCAACTCTAGGGTCAGCTCCTGCAGCCTTTCCCACCTGTGGAACTTAGTAGTTTACAAGAACGGAAATTTATTCTCTCACAGCTCTGGGGACTCATTTGGGAAGTCCAAATGTGTGTGTTGGCAAGACCATGCTTCCTCTCAAAGCTCTAGAGGAAGAATTTTTTTTTTTTTTATCTTCCCCAGCTTCTGGTGACTCCGGGTGTTCCTTGGCATGAAGGTGCAGTGTTATATAGTGCCCTTCCTCTGTCTTCTTGTCTCTTTATGTTCTTCTCCTGTGCCAGTCAGATGGGATTAGGATCCACTCTACTTCCTGCTTTGCATATGGTAACTGATAACATCTTCAAAGACCCTATTTCCAGACAAGGTCACATTCACAGGTGCTGTTGGTTAGGACTTCAACTTATCTTTTGGAGGGACAGGATTCAATCTATAACATATGAGGTGTGTGGTGTTCTTGGGACAGTATCAACTGTATCCTGAACTCTGTCTCTGGGTGCTCCCTCAGAGAGGGGCAGCTGTGTCTCTCTTTGGCCCCTAGCCATTTCTCAGGGTGGGATGGGAGCACTTGTCTGGGTAGCTTTTCCATCACAAAAACCCTGAGGACTGTGAGGAAGTGGGAAGGCTCCCATTGCCTGCTTAGGTACGTGTGCCTTGAGATGTGGCTCTCCTGTAGTCACCAGCTCCATCTGTTTCTGAGTCCTGAGGGACATGTGTGGTCCAGTGATCAGTGGCTCTCTTTAGAATGTGATATACCCTTAGCCTCTGAGCCCTGGTGTTTGAGTCTAAGGCCACAGGGACAGTCCCTTTCAAAGTTTTCTCCCCAGGGTTTGCATTCCTGGACTGCAATGTTCTCAGTGGCATCTCTAGGCAGCAGCCCTCCAACCTCTGAGTAGTTCTTCTGACAGGGTTGGGGTACACAGAGCTAGTTATAAGTGAGCTTTGTGGAGAAACAGGGAACTCCTAGGGCAGCTGCTGGAAAAAGTCATGACAGAAGCAAGAGAAAGCAGCCAAGTTGACCACAAGCAGCATGTTGTTGTTGTTGTTGTTTGCCATCGAGTCGGCCCCGACTCATAGCGACCCCTCCTTGGGTTTCCGAGGCAGTATCACTACAGAAGTAGGAATGCCCAGCCTTCCTTCCGAGGAGTGGCTGGTGGGTTTGAACCGCCAGCCTTCTGGTTAGCAGTCAAGTGCCTTAGCCACTATGCTACCAGAGCAGCATAGGTTCCTCCATATGACCTCTTACTGGGCAACAGATGTGTTGTGACCCCATCTCTAAGTGCCAGACTTTTTCTATAATCCATTTTATACGGGGTCACCCAAATCTTTGCACATTTGTGAGTTAGTTCAGGTACCTGAAATAATCAAACCAGCAACAAAAGACAGTACAGGCTCCACCCCATGCCTCCTTCCAGTGCTCCATGGGCTTGCCCACCCAGGAAGCTTTCCATAGGCCCTGTCTGTGGGAAGAAGACTGGGCCCAAGAAAATGTGGCCCAAGAACTACTGTAATTTGGCAAAGGGCTGGGTTGTGGCAGAAACGTTTTTCAGCTCTCATAGAAGCATCTGTCTGATCATTCCCCAAAGCACAGTATGATTCCTCCCCCAGAGCAGAAGGAGGAGGGTGAGAGAGGGCACCAAACCCCAGACCTCCAGCTGTGTAGAAGCCCTTGTAGTGCTGGAGCTGGACTTCTGTGTCTAGAGAAAAATATAAATTGCTGGTGATCAATCACTGAGTGCTCCCTACCTGCTGGCAAAGCTCAAAGTGTTATCATTTCAAATGAGATTAGATTAATCTCAGTTGTATTATAGTGGAAGAAATAGAGGTCCCATGAGGCTAAGTCACTGACCACAGGCACACAGTGAGGGCACGGCTGGGGTTTAACAAGGCAGCAGAGTACAGGGACCAGGTGAAGATCACCATGCTGCCAGTGAGCTTAGCTTTGGCTGCACATTACCGTAGACCCAAAATAAATAAAAGCAGCATAAGTGACACACCAGTTCTAGTCTTCCATAGAAGCAGTGTGGAGGTGGCAGTCTTTAACAGAGAACCAGGCTCATCTCTTTCTACTTTGCACCCTAACCGTGTGGTTTCATCCTCAAAGCCCCTGTGGAACTGCAGATGGTTCCTGACTCCCACACTTAGGAAAATAGGAGGGAAGAGGGGGAAAGGCAAAAAGTCAAGAGCACTAGCCGTTTAAGGAAGTTTCCAAGACAGCCACACACCCTGCAAGAGCAGATGAGGGCACACATAGCCTCTCCTGGGTGACCTTGGGTTTTGTTGCTACAGAGAAATAAGTATTAGACAACTGGCAGTGTTTGAGACACTCCCCAGAGAATATACCTCAAGTTCTATTTTTGGAATAAGACAGGTGGCAAGGAAATACTGTTACCAAATACAGTTACAAGAATAGGATATATAACAAATAATTCATAATTTCCCCAGACTTTATTTGAAAGGGTGCTTTATCCTGGGATGCCAGGACATAAAGCAGATCAGGTCAAGGCAGTCAGGACCAGGGCCTGCCTGATACTAGGCAGCAGAAAGGCTCGCCCCACAGGTGACAGCTTTCCTTGTCCTAGGGTCTGCAGTTTCTTTCCTAAGCACCCTGGGATGCTGTGAACACTTTGCAGCCACCCTGCTGTGGCCTCTCCTTCTCTTGGGGGTAGTGTGGGGTTTGTGCTTCCATGTTGCTCCCTGCAGGCCCAGCTTATCGCCCAGTCCATTGGGCAGGCCTTCAGCGTGGCCTACCAGGAGTTCCTGCGTGCCAATGGCATCAACCCTGAAGACCTGAGCCAGAAAGAGTACAGTGACATAATCAACACCCAGGAGATGTACAACGACGACCTCATCCACTTCTCAAACTCAGAGAACTGCAAGGAGGTGAGCTGCTTTCCACTTGACCCACTCTCCCAGCTGGGCCTTCCAGAGTTTCAGTCCGATGGCCTTACTTAGGAGCGGTGGGGCACTGCTCAGCACTTCCCTTCCAGCCCACCAAGGGGACAGAGAGCAGCCTTCATGGCCTCACAAGGTCACTGCCATCACAGTGGACTGGAGTGCTGCCCAAAGTGTACACCTGTGAAGGCTGCTGCCTTCACAGTGGAGCACTTGGGTGTGCAATGAGTTGACGGTGTAACAAAAGAGATGATTACAACCCATTTAATGACTTTGAAAATATGCCTTTTAATGTTGCTATTGTCACCACTGGCCCAGGAAAGATCTCTGAAAAGCTATAAAAGAAAACAAGCTCACTGCTGTCGAGTTAGATCCGACACATAGCGACCCATCCTTGGGCTTCCGATACGTAAAAAGCTGTGTTGCCGTTGTTGTTATGTGCCATCGAGCCAGACCCGACTCACAGCGGCCACTCCTTGGGTTTCCGAGGCAGTATCACTATGGACGTAGAGTGCCCAACCTTCCTTCCAAGGAGTGGCTGGTGGGTTTGAACCACCAGCCTTCTGGTTAGCAGTCAAGTGCCTTAGGCACTATGCTACCAGAGCTCCTCTGAAAAGCTGTAGGTGGCATCTTTGTAACAGGGGACTTGGATGTTCTGTGTTGAAGCTACCAGCAGAGGGCATTTGAACAAGTTCAAGAGGTTCTGCTCAAGGGTCTTTGGAATGTTCTGCTTTCCAAAGCAAATACCCCAGGGATAACTTATACCCTGACTGCTTGTTGAATGAGTAGGTAAATGGATGGCACAGACTGCTGGTTGAATGAATGAATGCATGAATAAATGATTCTGCTTGTTAAATGAACTAAAGAAAGAATGACCCTGACTGCTTGTGAAATGAATAAATGAATACCTTGACTGAATGTGGAATTAATGAATGAGTCACCCTGACTGCTTGTTGAATGAATGAATGAACAATTGTGACTGTTGTAAGATGAATGAATGATCCTGAATTCTGTCTGCTTGTCAAATGAATGAAAGATGCTAACTGATTAATGACTGAATGAGAGAGTTAATGACCTGCTTGTGGAAAGAATGGCCCTGGTTTTTGCTGAATGTGTTATAGGCAGCCTTCTGAGGGAGTGACCCTTGAGGCAGAGAGAAGAATAGAGGGCTTTTCTACACAAGTGCAAAGGCTAGGGCTTAAGGGTGCTGATTTAAGGGTGAGTGGTAGAGTGGAGGATGGACACTGGGGTTGGAGAGCACCCCTCTGGGCTCTGTAGTATGTGGTTAAGGACATGGAGGAAGGAGCAGGGGCCAGGAAACTGGAGCCACTTGGGGCTGGGAAGTCAACACTGTGGGGGTGAAGGTTCAGGCAGGAGCAGAGGGATTAGTATTCAGGGCAGCATGAGGGAGGAGTGGGCATCTGGGCCCTAAGACCCTCCTCCTGACCCAGGTGAGCCACCTTAGCTCTGAGGGCAGGGCAGGGATCGTGGGGCCCAGGTTTGGGCACATCCTTTTGAGGGTGCTGGCAGAGGCTTCTGCTTCTCACAGCACTTTTACATGTTGACCCCTTGCAGCTGCTGCTGGAGAAGCATAAGGGTGAGATCCTGGGTGTGGTGGTTGTGGAGTCAGGTTGGGGCTCTATCCTGCCCACGGTGATCTTGGCAAACATGATGAATGGCGGCCCAGCTGCCCGCTCAGGGAAGCTGAGCATCGGGGACCAGATCATGTCCATCAATGGCACCAGCCTGGTAGGGCTGCCCCTCGCCACCTGCCAGGGCATCATCAAGGTAGGTAGTGGGGACCCACCCCCTTACATCCTCACTGCAGTGTCATCCCCAAAGAGACTCAGGGACTGGTCACTGACTATACATACAGCTATCATTAGAGGGACCCAGCTGCATGGGTATGGGGAAAGGAGGCCTTGGTTTCATCTAGCTCAGTGCTGAGTCATGGTGTCCCAGGGAAGGGACAAGTTCCCATGGTTGTGGGGTGAATGACTATCCCAGTTGGCTGGGATGTTCCCATTTTAGTGCTGGAAGTTACACTTCCTGGGCAGCCCCTCAGTCCTGGACAAACTGGGCAGGTTGGCCTGCTTACACTGGAACATGTTGCTGGAAGACAGGCTTTTTCCTAAAAGGCTGCTCTGACTGACCTGTGAGTCCACAGCCTTAGGAGGAGGTGAGCTTCCTGTTCCTGGTGGAATCAGCAGAGGGACACAGCCAGGTGAGGTCAGGGCCTTCATACTTGCTTATCCATTCAATGAAAGCCCAGGGTCCAGGGGACAAGCATAAGGCCTCAGGCTGGCCCAGCTGCCAGCCCTGAAAGCAGCACTTTCACTATCTTTCAGGATCCTCAGATAGCAGGCTCTGCCTGTCGGTGGGCCTCTCTGTCTGTAATCTTGCCCCAGCCCTCAAGGGCTGATTCCCTCCGCATAGTCATGGCCTTAGTTCTAGAGGAAGCACCTCCCTCCTCCCTGGTGCAGCCTTGCAAATGAAGGGCACCTCTGAAGCTGTCTGTTGGAGCTAGCCAGTAATGTCTGTCTGATGGACACAGGGAGAGGCTTCCATCCAGCAGGAGGTGCTGCACCCAGGGCACTTTCCTGCAGCAGTGGATGGTGCCACTCTTCATGTGCCTGTGGGGTCACTTTAATTTCTAGGCATCTCCAAGCAGCATCTAGGCTTGTGCCTGGCTGGAGGGGTACAGCTAGAACTGTAGATGTGTGAGGCTTGATTCCCATCACCCCACTACCCACTTAGCCCCCAGAACTGCAGCCTGGCATGCTCACTGACAATCACATCTTCTCAGGGGCCTGAGGCTACAATTGGCTCCAGGCTGATTCTGTCTCAGTGTGGCACCAGAATCCCACACTACCCGGGAGCCCCTTCCTCCTGCTCATGGTTTTCACTGACCATATATCATCATGTCCTGACCCCTTCTCTCCTGTCGGTATAGCAACAGCTCTGTCACTGCAAGATATTCTGCTTTGAGAAGAGTGGCCCAGAGTTCTTCCAAATAGGATGTTCTATATTTGTGTGTGAACACCTATAGGTGATTGTAGTGCCTCAGCCTGAATTCTATGAGGCAGCACTCAGCCTGGCTCCTGATGGGGGTGCAGCTTGTATTCACCCATGTCAGAGGGCCTGAAGCACAGGGAGGGAGTCATGTGTCCACTACCTCTTGATACAAAGCAGCCTGGGGTGAGGGTCAGGGCAGTACTTTCGCCCCTGGTACAGAGGAGATGCTGAGGCCCAGAGTGGAGACTCCCTCACCCATGCTTTCGCAGCCCAGGTGGCAGGGCAGGTCTGAGGCTAGCCTGGTGGTCCCAGGTTCAGCCTCGTACTTGGTCAGTGCCAGGAGGTATGTAAGGCTGCTGTGTGACTCTGTGACTCATGTCCCCACACTCTGCAGGGCCTGAAGAATCAGACACAGGTGAAGCTCAACATTGTCAGCTGCCCTCCAGTCACCACAGTCCTCATCAAGAGGCCAGACCTCAAGTACCAGCTGGGCTTCAGTGTGCAGAACGGAATTGTAAGTCCTCCCTATCCTTCTTAGTTGCTTCCACAGCATAAGGCTTGGGTATGGGGAGTTGGGTGTGGCAAGTCTTCAGTGCCACTGCCCCCAGAACTGCCCCTGACTGACAGGGCAAGCCACACATGGCATGGGCTTGTAGTGGTTCTGGGGCAGGCCTGGGCACTGGCTCAGGCAGACAGGGAGAGCCAGAGTGTGGACCTCATGCCCTGCTTAAGGCACCATTGCCCCTTTGGTAGTTGATCTTAGTAAGTGCCTGCTTTGCAGGGCTTGGGAGGTTGGCTCTCTACTACTGCAGTAAGGAAATATACAGCCAATAGCAGCACCAGACTCAGTGTGTACAACAAGCACATACCCAGGCATTTGTTCTTTAATTTACTCATCCATTCACTTACCCACTTCTTGTTCAGCAGATCACCATGAAGTACCTGCCCTTTGCCAGGTTCTGGGCTAGGCACTGAGGAAGTGGGAGGTCTTCAAGGAGGTAGTGATACTGGGCTTGAGTAAGTCTGGTCAAAAATCTGTAACTGGTCCCTCAGCCAGAATTCAGCTCATAATTTCCACCTTCTCTTCGACTGTGTTTGGCAATGTGAGTCCTGTTTCCCTGGTCTTTCCTCCTACAAAGGCTGCAGGGGATGGGCATGCCCACAGGTGGAGAGCAGGAGAGGGAGCCAGGAATTCCCCTATTGACCAAGCAAGCCCCGAGTATTAAAGAGCCAAGGAAGAGAGTTATTTTGGCAGGCCAGGGAGGAGTAGAAGCTCCTATTGTCAGGATCAAGGGGTGAGGGGCCAGAAGGCTGAGGACAGTGAGGAGCAGAGGGCTTCTCAGAAGGTTTGGGGAGTGCTGGGCTCAGGGAAGCAGAAATCAGATTCCATGGAAGGAAATAATACAGAGTTCTAAAGACCAAATTGCCAGGGTCCCTCCCAGGTTGTGGATGCCAACAGATGGACTCTTTGGTGAGATGTCAGCAGCTTCTTGGTACATCCACCACTGGTGCTTGGTTCTAAGTCCTGAGCAAAGAGGCCTGGGCTCACCACTGTGGACAAGGAGCAGTTCATCTACGGAAGAGGCCACAGACCTCAGCCTTGCCTACTAACAAGCTGTTCAGCCATCTGACCTCCACTGCCCCATCTGTGAAGTGGGCTCACACTTGCTTATGGGTCCAGAGCATGTATGTAGGACTTCATGAGGAGGTTGGCAGCCATGAGGTGGGTGTGTGGTGGCTCCAAGCAACTTTCTGCTAAAATCTGCACAGCCCACCTAAGAGTGCCAGAGAGGTTTTATAGGTGAAGTGAATTAATCTGTGGGTACATCCTTGTCATGGTCTGTCTCCCCATGACCCTGAAAATAGGGTCTGATGACTGCACACATCAATCATGTATCTATACCTGGCCCTGTGGCCACAACCTTGAGTAACTGATACAGGCTGGCCTGTTCCTTCTGTCCCCACCCCAGTGCCACACCCATGCACAGTCTGAGTGTAGAGGATGGGCATCTATGCACAGGATCTACCTGTCCAGATCACATCTCTGGCACTCAGATGTGGGCTCCCACACAGCTGTTACCCACACCTGGTAGTTCTACCAGCTGCAGAATGCAGTGCCCACCACCCAACTTGTGCAGTCATCTGCCTCGGCCTCAGAAGAACCTTGGGCTTCACCAATCAGTGGGACCTCATCAGGAGAGTGAGTTTGGAGAACATTCAGGAGGCCAAAGGTTCTGGCTACTCCTGTCCAAGAGTTTTCCTTGGGGACAGAAGAGCAATCCCCTGCCACCCACAGTATGGTCAAGTTGGAACCAGTAACTCTGCGGTCCTGGGTCTCAGCTTCTTCCCACCTGCTTCACAGAGGCCCTGGCTTGGTCACCAACTACAGTCCATGCTGCCTTGACTGGCCTGGACTGGTGGGCTCTTCCTGGGGGTCACGTCCTCCAGACCTCCCTGTTCCCAGGGCTAGTGAAGCTCTCTTGAGTTCCCTCCCAGCCTTGCTGTTCCTGAAGTCCTGGATCCAGTCAGGAAGGGACAGCCACAGAGTGACTATGTGCTGGGAGCTTGTTGGGAGGTAGCTTCTGGCTTCCGCCTGGGGTGCAGCCTGCACATACCTGACCATGAAGGGACCATGGGTTCAGCAGGGCAGGACATTGGCTAGGTGCTGGCATTTATCAACAATTCACAGACCCAACATGCTTTCTACCCACTTAATGTATAAACAATTTCTGCAGTAGGGGGCGGACTTTAGTTTCAGAGTAAGCAGTTAGATGAAATATGTTGTAACACTTTGGGGAAAAATAAATAAATCTGGGCACTGTCATCTGTGAAGTTGAAAGGATGAGTTCCCTGTACAGGTGTGTGTATACATATGTGTGTACATGAGAGCGTGTGGTATATATGTTCCTGTTCATGTGGGAATGTGTATATGTGTATGTGTGTGCATGTGTATGTGAATGTATATGAATATGTGCATGTATGTAGTATATGCATGCATGTGTGTGCATCCTTAAATGTGTGTATGTGCATGTTTACATGAGTGCTTCTATGTGTGTGTGTGTGTTTGGGTGTGCCCTATACTTCCTTACCTCTACGTGGGAAGTAGCCTCATCTTGGGTCTCTGAGTGGTCTATGCTTTCTCCAGAATAAGAGGCTCCAATTTAACTGAGACACTGGATCTTTTGTGGAGTTTGCCTCTTCTCACTGCTTTTCATTTAGCCCAGAGCCTCTCTTGGATGTCTGGTTCTCCCCTCTGTCTAGTTTCATCTTCCCAAGTGCCCAATCCCAGGCCTATCGTCTGTCTGTCTGTCTGGGGATCAGTTCTAGGAATTAGGTAACAAAAGCTGTCCCATGGGCATGCTCTTCCCACACATACAGGGCATCCTTGTAGCAGCCCCCCTACCTGTCCCACTTCTAGGCCAATGTCACCATTTTCTGGGTGAAAAACTGAGGAACAGAGCCTTTAAGTGACTTCCTAGAAGCATCATAGTTGATGAGAGGCAGAGCTGGGTTCATTGGAGGCAGGCCAACTCAGAGACCACACCCACTGCCTGCCATCATAGGCTCTTTCATGGCATGAGTGGGAGAATAAGCACATGAATTTTATGGCATTTGACCAGTGCAGAGGCTGAGGGGATGTCAGGAACCAAGTGGCCTTCCTCATCCTCCCAGTCATTAACACCCTTGCCAGCCAGCCAGTCCCCCTTTAACTAACACTATAGGAGCTCTGCACCTGCTGAAAACAGATACCACATAACTGTGGTTCCCTGAGGCCCCTGGAGGAGTTGGTCAACATTCACATTAGTTTTGTACAAGAATGTTCCACTTTCAGCATCAGAATACGTAGAGTACTCACGTTAGTTTGCAGAAAGGCCTTGGAGAATGGACCCAGTTAAGGTTCTTTGTAAACAGATCTCTCCCCTCTGTGGCCATTATACCTGTCAAGAAGTCAGCAGGTCTCCAGTTTGGAAGCCCCAGCTTTCTTCTGGGAAACATGCTCTTGACATCCACCAGGCCATGACCCTGACTCCTCCTTTTCCATGCTTTCTGCCAGCCTGGCCCAGCTTCCAGCTAGATCTGCTTGCCAGGGTCCTGAGTTCACTCTCCCAGCAGCACCTCTTACAGTACAAAATCTGCCTTTTTCTACCTCTCCCTTTCCTTCTCCTACTTTGTTGTCTCTCCACAAAGACTAGGAAGGAAGCTGCCACCAGGAAGTAATCAAGAAATGTCCTAGCTTCAGTCAGGGGCAAACCAGGCCTCCTCCTAACATCTGGTCAAGCAGCAAAGTGAGGGAGACCATTCTGAAGTGCTTTCTTCAGGATCTTCAAAGAGCCAATTACATTTGAAACAAAATACCTTTAATTTCTTTGGAGAAGTTAATCCTCAGTACTTGTGTGAGATGTTTGGGCATCAGCTCACTAGAACGTTCTTTGGCAGATGAGCATACCCCTTTCTGGATAAAGGTGGCCATAGGGCCCGGCCCTCTCTCCTACACCTGCTGAGCTTGCACCCCAACCCTAGGCCCCATAGCCTCTGTCAGAGCAGCAAGAGAAGGGCTCTGGATGTGAGGAGGAGCGGCCATGGGCCCCATGCTGCATCCAAAAACACACTGGGAGTTGGGAAAGGTCTGTGCGTCTGTGACAGACAAAACTCAGCAAACAAGTGGCAGGCAGGGTCTTATGGTGGGTGTCAGGGCCCGTCTGCAGTCAGTGGACCTGTAAGCCTTGCTCAGGCCCTGAGAAGGAGAGCAGGAAAGGCAGGGTGGAGCATTTCTGTCTCTCCAGCCAGCTGGCCCCATGAAGCAGAGTCTTCCAGCTGCATCTGTAGATCAGGCCATAGCAGGGCATCTGGCTGGGAGAGGCCATTTGGCAGTATGGCTTCTGACTGCAGCTCACATGTCAACACAGGCAGGCACCTCTTTTAGGCCTCTGGGTTGAGGGTGAGGGGATTGTCCCAGAGTCTCCAAAAAGAAAGCTTTGGTCTCCGAGATGGCTCTTTGCCTTGTTTTCTACAGGCAGACTGACCCTTGACTTCTGAGGGTACCGATAAGTATCTCTTCTTCTTGACCTGGCTTGACAGCTCCCCCACACACACATACACACACACACAAACACAAACACTAGAATTTGCTTGCATACCTCTGGGCCACAGAAATCCCATTTAATTATCTCTAAGCTTGCTCTCTGATAAGAGTAGCAAAAATCTCGATGGGGAAAGTGGGTAGGAGTGGAAGCAGAGCAAGTGCTCCCTGTCTACTTCTGAGCAACCTCTTGCCATGCATGGACCCTAAGTCCCTGGGGGGATTAGGAGGCCCGAAGTTTGGTGGGTGCTGAGTGGTGCAGGCCAAGCCTCTGACTACAGCCCAGCATTTCCTTCCTGGCTGGCTTTCTTGTGTGGCCCTCATGGTGGGCTAACTCTGCCACTTGGTTGTAAATAGACCTTACACAGGACACTCTAAGGTTTGTCAAACTAGTTTGACCTCTGTCATCTTTCTCCAAACCCCTGGGAGAGCTCAGGTGAGTGAGGCCTTATCAGACAGAGGAGAGAGCAGAGCCCAGAGAGGGGTGGGATCAGTCTACTCTGAGGGGCAGAGTCAGGGCTGGGACCCTGAGGCCTGTCCCTTCCCTTGGCTGCCTGCACCCAGCTCCCACATTGCCTCCAGGCCATGGGCCTGGCTCTGCCTGGGCACGTGAAACATGCCAGGTGCACAAACAGGGCCTGTCCCTTCAGGAGTAAAGGCTCCAGCAAGGTGATCCATAGACACATCAGGGCCAAGGATCTCCCTGAAAAATGTAGCTACCTTGTGATTTTGCATGAGTCTTTGAACAGGGGTTATGACCCCAGCTCTGTTGGGGAGAGGACTAAACTCATGAACAACTGACTGCTTGGTCATGCTCAGTGTCCAGGGCAAGAATTCAAAAGGAAGGGATGGTAACATACAGGAACACAGCCCTGGCAGAAGAAACCTCAGCTATGGTTTGTCAGAATGGAATTGTGGGTGGCCACTGTCAGGACTTTCATGAGAACCAAGGTGTGCATGAGACTGAGGAGGGCATGGCAGAACAGGGACAGGGATGAGAGATCTCCCAGAGAAGGCATCTGCAGCCAAACCTGGGGGTTGGAATGATTTTTCTTTTGAGAATGCATAGCTCTGTGCTTTTCTCTCAATTTCAGATGTCTGTGACTAGGTGGGGGGCAGTACATCTGCTACTGCTTGCTCCTCACTTGAAGGTATTATTTAGAGATGACTTTTCCAGGCAAAGGAGCCCTGGTGGTACAGTGGTTAAATCACTTGGATGCCCACCAAAAGTTTGATGGTTCAAACCCACTAGCTAGTCTGGGAGAAAAATGTGAAAGTTTGCTTCTAGAGAGATTGGGACAGTTCTACTCTGTCCTACAGGTTGCTGTGAGTCAGAATTGACTCAGTGGCAGTGGGTTTGGTTTGGCTTTCCTAGGTGAGACAGGTGCTCTCCCTGTCACAGGAAAGTGAGCAGATAAGGGCCAAGGGACTTCCTGTCTATTCCTCAGAACAGTTGCTACTGCCACTTAACTGCTTATCAAGGGCTAGAAACAAAATTAAATTCCTTTTAAATTAAATTGTTATTTTTAACAAAGTGATTCTTGGAAGTGGTTTTAAAAATTCCAGCAATACTATAGTGCTTTCAGTGGAATCCAGCAATGTCTGCTCTTGCCTCCTTCCTGTTCCTCCCTCCAGAGGTGATACTTCCAACCCCTAGCAGAATCTTGTACTTCTTCCATCTTCTAAATCAAACCCTTACACTACCATCTCTCTGTTTTTCAATTGCAGACATCATGTTTTCCTGCTATGGAAGGTGCCGGTTAGCTGACACATCTCATGTACACATATTTCAGCTCCCTACCAATCTCTCCCAAACCATTCTCTCACAATTCAGCATTGCGTCAGTATTCAGCATTTACATTTCTGGGTTTCTATAAGGATTTGTTCATATGTGATTCACTTACTGTGTTCATTAGGGTAGTGGTAGCTGCTGTAACAAGAAGGCCCATAGGTGGAACGCCTCTAACAAGATAGACATATATTTCTCATGGAGCAGTCCAAAGGTAGAGTACCAGATTATTTACACATCTGTCCACCCATAGACGCAGCTGGGCCATCCTTGGGATAGAACATCCAAGATTGTTCATGCTGCTGTTCCATCCAGTCAAAACTGAAAAGGGCAGAGGCCCAGGGCCATTCTTCTCAGGCTGGGGTGCAGGAGGTTGCATACATCACTTGGGTTCATATCTCATTGCTGAAAGCTTGGTTGCATGGCCACACCTAACTGCAAGGAGGGTGGGAAAACAAGGCTGAGCTGACAGCCACATCTCAGAATACATTCTGTTTATTACCAGGAAAGAAGGGGAGACAAACTTGGGAACAACTATTTTTCCGGGAATCAATAATTGTCTCTTTTCTTTTGCTTGCTTAGTTTGCTGTGCTGTTGTTTTAGGTGCCGTCGAATTAGTGCCAACTCATAGCAACCCCTGTATAATAGAGTGAAATGCTGCCTGGTTCTGCACCATCCTCACTATTTTTGCTATGCTTGGGCCCATTGTTGCAGCCACTGTGTCAGTTCATCTCATTGAGAGTCTTCCTCTTTTTTGCTTACCCTCTACTATAGCAAGCATGATGTCCTTTTCCAGGGACCGATCCCTCCTGATAACATGTCCAAAGTACATGAGACACTTTGTCAAGCCAGGTCAAGCCAGCCTCACTTCTAAGGAACATTCTGGCTACTTTTTCCAAGACAAATTTGTTCCTTTTTCTGGCAGTCCATGGTATATTCAGTATTTTTCACTAACACCATAATGCAAATGCATCAGTTCTTCTTCTGTGCATCTATCATTAATTTATCTTTAAACTCACCAGTGTACCTTTACAATCCCTTATTGAATAACTATTGCTTGCATTTTTCTCATTGGAGATTTACCTACTGACATCCTCCATTTTCCTGCTGCATTCTAGAGTGGGTGGCTTTAATACCACTAGATAACTAAGACAGGAAAGCATTTTCAGTGAGGACTTTTAAGGTTGTATGCATTATCTTCTGGCTTCTAGGTCTGTTGTTAAGAGAGCAATGCCTTTTGGTTCTTGGTCAATTGTATGTAGTTAATTTGTGCTCCCTGGAAGCATTAAGGATCTTCCCTTTGTCCCCAGGGACCTGAAATTTCATGGAGATGTGCTTTGAAGTGAGTCTCATTGAATTGAGTGCTTTCAATCTGGAAATTTATGACTTTCAAATCAGAGTGATTTTCTTTTATTATTTCTTTGAGAATTTCCCATCCTCTCTTGAATTTTTCTTTAACCATTGTCACATGAACTCTTTCTTATTCTTGGAAGATTATGTTGTTGTTTTACAAATACAGTGTTTCTGCTTTTCTTCTAAGGCTGTTCATTGTAGTTTTGAAGGTTGCATCTACTTCTTGTTTTAGATTCTTCTGTGATCTCTTTTCTGTCTGCTTAGTTGCTTGCTTTGATCTCTATCTTTCTTGCTAGCTTTGCTCAAAATATTTGGTGATCCTTGACTAGCCGTTCTTTGTTTTATTATTATTGTGGTGAGAATGCACACTCCAAAACATATGCCAGTTCAGCAGTTTCTACATGTACAATTCAGTGACATTGATTACATCCTCCAAGTTGTACAACCATTCATGCTATTCTTTTCCAAATTATTCTACCACCATTAATATTAAACTCAATGTCCCCTAAGCAAACACTCCTTCTTTCCCTTCCTTGCTTATTATATTATTATAACCACTAATAATCTTTGATTTCTATATCTTTGCGTATTTCATATAGCGTGAGCATAAAGTATTTGTCCTTTTGCAACAGACTTACTTCACTCAGCATGATGTTTTCAAGGTTTATCCATGTTGTGGCATCCATCAAAACATCATTTATTTTTAACGTTGAGTAGTGTTTCTTTGTATGTATTTACCACATTTTATTTATCTATTCATCTGTTGATGGATATTTCAGTTGTTTCCACCTTTTGACTGTTGTTAAAATGCTGTAGTGAACATTGGTATGCAGGTTTCAGTTTGCATTTCTGCTTTCACTCTTTCTGGGTATATACCTAGAATTGAGATTTTTGGGTCATATGGTATGACCATCCATTCTTTTTCAAAGGACAGCACTAATTGAAAGCCCTGTGTGCATGGAAGAAACTTGTCAACTATTTGATTTTGCTGTAGCCAATCAGATGGAAACCGACCCATTTCTTGTCTTGGGAAAGTTAGCTCCTTCAAAGGGTGTTCTCTGCACCTGTCTGGGGGCATGGTGGTAATAATAGCCTGACTGCCACTGTTCAGGTTGCTGGCTTAGAGAAAAGTCACTGAGGCTTCTCACAATTCAGAATGTAAACATTCACTTCATCTACTCCCCTCCATTTTCACCCAGCATCCCACAGCTTCCTTCTGTAGTGGTAAGGAGTCCTCAACCTAGAGCCTCTCCTGCCATTTCTCTAGACATGAAACTTTCTGTCTCCTGCCAGTATGGGTGCATGGCTGGCTGCACAGAGGGGAATTCTTAGAGGTCTAAGTCTTCCTTACACATTCTTTCCACCAGCCTACCTGGGTTAAGCCCCACTGCAGTGTTTTCTTTCCCACTCCTTTGTAGGTTCTGCAAGGCCCAGTGCTGTTTCCAGGGAGCCCTGCAGAAGGCTGTCAGTATGTGACATCCCCCCCTTCCCCCCCCCAAGCCATACCCTACCTGCTCTCTGTAAGCTGGCAGTTCTTGTTGTCGACAGTGATGCATACCTTGTCTAATGCTTTGATATTTTGTGAATCTCACAAGTGAGTGGAATCAAACACAGGTGCTTAATCATCATTTTCTCCAACTCTTTCCATTTGTTAGCTCATTAAATCATCACCTCACCCCTCATCCCTTGTGAAGGAGGAACAGGCATTGTCTTTGCTTTAAAGAGGAACAGAGTGCAGCCCCCAGATAATCTTTCAGAACATGTACTCCTGAACACACACCCTCTTGAGTGCTTTAACTGTTGCATTACCAACACTCCACACTTCGTGACAATGGGGGAAGCAAGGCTCCCAGGGGCTGAGAGGCCAATTGCACTGTGATTACGGATTTCTGAGGGCTTGGAAGGTTCTCCCACATGCCATGTCCTTGACTTTTTTTTTTTTTTTTTGGTCATGAAATGACTTTTTCTGCTGCGTGGTTAATTTTCTTTCTCTCATCTTTGGGGTTATGGATGAATGCCTACTGGGTAGGGCAGATACATGTGTGATAACCTGTCATGTGTCTGGTTAGATTTGCAGCCTTATGAGAGGGGGCATCGCAGAGCGAGGTGGCGTCCGCGTTGGCCACCGCATCATCGAGATCAATGGACAGAGTGTCGTGGCCACAGCCCATGAGAAGATAGTCCAAGCCCTGTCCAACTCTGTCGGAGAGGTAAGTTACACCAGTCCTTCCCACCATCTTCCTGGGACCAGAGTGTGGGCCCAGGGCCATCTTTGCCCATATGAGGGGTTTATGATGTGCTCAAGAAAACCATCCGTCCCACTTGGAGAAAGTCTGCCCTTCTTAGGGGACCAGGGAGCATGTCTCTGTTTGCTGGCTCAGTGTGACCTCTGCCAGCCAGCCAACCTCTTCCAGTGGGACACTGGACAGCAGTGGAGAGGGTCAGCCAGGTCATGGCCCCAACAGAGAGTGCCCATGACAGGGTGAGCAGAAGTGCAGGCTGTGTTGGTCCCTCCCTTTCTGTTTGTGTAACTGTACAGCCGAACCTCTCAGCAGACAGGAGGGTAAAGGCAGCCAGATGGAGCTCCTTCCATAATGTTTCAGGAACTGGGTCATGCATGCTCAGCTTGGTGCTGCAGCCCTCTATAGTACTGACCTGCGCATGAGGCCCTGGCACAATGGAAGTGGATTCCCCACTGTCCTCTTGCCTGCTTTTTCCCACCCACAATGTGGACCCCTCTGTGGCTGCTTGACCCTTTCCTACTTTGCTAGCTTTTAACTTTACTTCCATTCTAGCTCTTTCTGCATCAGTCCAGTGCTAGCATGAGGATGGATGAGGGTACAGAGGGCAGGGGCACAGTGTTCCTTAAGGAGCTCACAAGTAACTCAAGGTGAAAAGCAAGATGCCAGTGGGTGAGGCCACAGCATGTGGGAAGGATACCTCAGTGTAAGAGATGTGTGTGTGTTTGTGTGTGTGTGTGTGTGTATGAATGGATGTATGAGTGTGTATATGTGAGTGTCTGTGTGTGAGTGCAAGTGTGTAATGTGTGTATATGTGTGAGTGGATGTGTGTAGAGGGTTGTGAAGGAAGTAGATAAAGCAAGTGGGTTGTGGTTCTCCCTGAGAGATACGTTGGAGACAGCACAGAGGGTGAGGCTGAAGGTAGGTTGGGAGGGGGCCATTGTGAAAAGAGCGTGGGTGCTGGGTGGGGAGTTTAGGGTAATTTTGAGGGTTGTAGAAAGCAGTGGCCAGCCCAAACTTGTGTCTGTGAGCACTTCTCATGGTGGTCAATGGGAAAGGGGGAGTAGATTCTGGCTCTGTGCCCTGTGGGGTGGGCAACAATCTGGCTTGGCCCCTGGTGGGTGGATGGGTATTGTTTCCTGAGAGTCCCTTCAGATCATGATTTCAGAGGCCCTGGAAGACTGTTCCTTGTTTTGTGAAGTTACCAGAGCTGGGGAGAAGACACACTTACTCCTGGGTTGTTGTGGTCGTGGCTGCCTTTCAGGAGGAAGAAGGATGAGGGTAGGCATCATTAGCCTCCTTTTACAAATGGCTTCTAAGAAAGGAAAACCCAATTTTCCTAAGTGGACTGGAAATGGCCAACCCCACCAGAGGATCAGCCACACACAGTTGAAGAAATCAATCCAGTAGTCAGCTGGGAGCAAAGGGAAATGTTTCCCACTGTTCTGGCCTGAAATGAATTGATACTTAAAGAAGTCTGAAAATAGTGGGAAAGTAGGGGAGAAATGTTGCAGCCCTTTTAGCAGGGCCTCCTCCAACATCTCAGATGTGATGGTTGGAGATTAAAGTGTCTGCTTGCATTTTCCATCATCTCTAAAGACATTTAGAAAATTAGTCACTGATAAACAAGACCTGAAGTTTTGATGAGTCTTGGAGGTTGGATTTCAGATTGAGGAATCACAGGGAAAGAGTCTTCTTATGGAAAAAACCATTGTGGGGTGATAGAAGAGCTGACATCTGAAATTAACTGATCATAGCAATCCTGGGCCAGTGTATAAGGTGGGGGAGGCACACTGTGAGACAATACAAATACAAAAAAAGCACCTGCATCTGTTTGACATATTTGATGTCACTCCCTGTCTGAGCTAGTCAGATTGGCCTGAGACCTATTTGTCCAAGGCAGAGCAGATGGGACAGCTATGCCCTGGTTAGCCAGACCTGTCCAGTTGAAGGCCCACCTGAGGGGTTAGGGGCCCTGGATTGGGCTGTCCACTCCAGAAAGAAGCTCATTATTGTCCATGGAAGACTGGACAATGGTAGGACCAAGGCAGAGGAGGGGCTGTTGACTTGGGCTGGGTCAGTGAGGCTCATTTTGTCCTGTGGGAGGGCTCCGTGATTCATTTCCCTTTGTGCAGGCTTGGGGCTGCCTGCAGAAGTCTTTATGAGCAAGTGAAAAATGACCTAGATCTCCAGGCAGGGCTGGTCTGGGGGCCTCAGCAAGGAGCTGGAAAGCCTTGGCAGTTTTAGGTGGGAAAGCAGTGGGTATATGTGAATTTTAAGAAATCTTGGGCAGGGGGTCAGGGAGGCGTTGGCTATGGATGGAAAAGCCCAGTTGGGAAATGGATGGATGGACCCTAGTAATCCTGGGGAGAGCAGCTAAGACTTGGGGGAGAATTGAAGAGGGTAGGACCCAAAAATGCCTCCCCCTTGGGCTGCTGTCCCTCCCTCTTTTCTTCCCTCCAGGAATTTTGATGTAGACTGGCACTTTTTTCCTTTGGGCTGATTGAGGAGTTAGGGGATGTGACAGGGCTAGTTGAGGCATCTCGGGTCAATGTTCTGTCCCCTTCCAGAGCAGTAGTGCCACCCAGATACTGGGAAAGGTCTGGGGTGCCCAGGAAACTGAACTCAGCTGAGCCAAGTGGTGTCACTGACTGCATATGTGTGAGCCACTCATTCTCACTCTGAAAAACGTGGGGATTTTTCATATTAGGCTGGCCATGGGAGGAAAGGGCCCACAGGGTACCCCTATGCTCAGCCTGTGCTCCACCCCAACAGATCCACATGAAGACGATGCCTGCCGCCATGTTCCGGCTCCTCACAGGCCAGGAGACCCCACTCTACATCTAGGCTGCACCTCACTGAAGGAGCTTCATGGCCGGGCCCAGAGGCACTGGGCACTTGTCCACAGCTGGAGGCCAGGATGTCCAGTGTCCCTGACACACAGCCTCCAAGGACTCAGGCTTCCCTGGTGGGCATGTCCCCACCCACCATTTTTTTTTTTCTCCAGAAAAGGGGTATGTCTCTATCAAAGGGAGTCACAGAAGCAAAACCTTTGTAAAACATTCAACTATTTTGCCACATTCTGAACCGTTCCTCACAGTGACTGATGAGGAAGGTATTGTGTGTACTATGTGTGGTGTAGAGTGTGTGTCTTTCCCTCTTGAAGCTATAGTGGACATGGGTATCTGACAGACAAGGGGCTGCTGGGGAGGCCATGACTGACCCTCCTGCTCCTCAGTGGTCCTCCAGAGGTCTCTGATGCTCCCAGATAGGCAGACCCTGCTGTTGCTTCCCAAGAGCACAGACAGTGCAGCCCCCAGGTGACTTGTAATTAAAGTTTGGGAACATGTGACTGGTTGTCATTATTTACCAAGAAAGGAGGCGTATCTGAGTTAAATAAAGAATGTTGGCCACAACATTAAAACTCCATATTTATTTAGATAATATTACTGTTTTTGACTTTAATTTTGACAAACTGTTCTTTAGACTGAAAGGTTTTAAGATGACCCATGACCAAAACCACTACTCCTATCCCTACCTATAGTCTCTGTGAAGTTAACTGGGCACTCTCTGTCCCTAGCCAAGTCCCCACCCACAGAACTTGCCACAGAGTAGGGACAGCTCATTTTCCCTCCCAGGGACATGGAGAGCAGCCCAGTGTCTGTTCTCAATATAGAATCTCTACTTGCACATGCACATCTACACACATGCCACCCCACAAAAAATAACTCCCACAGAGAACACCACCAATGGCTTCTGTTCCCTGGGGCAGCAAGTGATACATGTTGGTGACTGGGTGGGCAAGGCACTGTCACCATCAGCAGTATTAGCGTGTGTTTAGCTCAAGTAACACATAGTCTAGTTAAATTCATTAGAGGTCAGTGTTAACCAATGTCATTTTGTCTGGAGTCTCTTTCTTTGGCCCAGGCCGTGAAGAATACACTGTGACTTAAGAAGCCTTACCATGCAGTAACTAAAGCTGTAGGATTACTGTATCCAAGGAGTAACCTGTGTGTTGCATGCAGCTGACTTTAAGAAGACTTCACTAATATCGCTAATAAACCTGAAGTCCTGATGACAAGCTGTCCGTGTGGCTGGTTTGTTCACTGAGGGTGGTGCCCTCCGTGCCTCTAACCCCACACCTTTGCATGATGCTCTGCAAGGATGCGTTTTGGCAGTAGCTACTCCATGAGCTTCCCCATGAGGTCGGAGGGGCACTGCTACCATCACAGGTGTCAGGCTGACATCACCCTGGAACAGCTAGAAGTATTAGCAGTGGTGGCAGGTTCACCAGGTGGGCCATGGGTTCTCCATCCACCTGTCCTGGAAAGATGAAATGGCTCTAATAGAGTGAGAGTGAGAAGGAACCTTGCAGCTCCAGAGTGAAATTTGTCCGTGAATGGGTATAGTGACTATGCCAATGAGTGTGAATGAATGTGTGAAAATATGTATGAGTGTAAGTAATGTGTGAAAGTGTATATGAGGGTGTGAGTACGTGGGTGTGAGTGTGTGTGTATGTATGAGTGTAGGTACATAAGCTGCCTTTCTCCATGGCCAATCGCATTGGTGCCTTCTGGCATGGGGAGGCAAGGGGGTAAATGGGTCTTTGGTCAGAGGCTTGGGGGCATGTCCCAGCTTTTGAGCTTCAGGACCCTGAGAAAGTAAGACCTTTTATGTCTGACCTTCCTACAAATGACCTGTACCCCCAAACCACAATTGTTGACACAGCCTGCACAGCCTGTGTAAACTTTAATTACAAAGTCAGACTAACAAACAAGGAGAGCTCTTATCTCCCTCCCAAAGTCTGTGAATTAAAAAACACACATACACTCTGCGCTGGCTCTTGGTGGCATATAAGACACAGTCTTTCAAAGCAAACTCCAGTCTGGGTGTCTTTGCCTTTTCCTGAGAACTAAGGAACAGCATGCAGCGTCAGAAACCTGACAAAGGGCAGCATGTACTGGGCACAATTGCAGGTGCTCGCTCTCCCTTTCTGATGATGCTGGAGAATGGAAAACAATAAAGTTCTTCATGTTGCCAGGAAACAAAAAATGCTAGCCCAGGATGGTCCATAGCCATGGCTAATGAAAAGAAACATGTGAATAAAAACTGGAGGGGTGAGGCCTCCAATGAGGAAAGCCAAGCATTGTGTCCCTGCAAGGCCCAAGGCAAGGGAGGGGAACAGTTTCCAGAGAGGAAATCCATGGCCAGCAAGGGATGAGGAAGCGAGGTTCCTTCTACATACAGTATCCACATTAAAAAGTCTAAATCAAAGGGCACTGAGCTATCTATAAGGAGCTGTAGTGGTGCAGTGCCTAAGGCATTTGACTGCTAACCAGAAGGTTGGTGGTTCAAATATACCAGCTCCGTGGAAGGAAGATGGGGCACTCTACTTCTGTAAGAATTTACCACCTTGGAAACCCAATGGGGGTGGCTGTGAGTCAGAATTGAATCGATGGCTGTGAGCTTGGTTTGGTTGAATTGTCTGTGTGACCCCCAGCAGCCCTCAGTTGTCCCACCTGGATAGGCAGCTGTGGGCCATCAGCATAAGTAGCAGCTACGTGCACCTGGCCACCTGCCCTCTGGCCTCGTAGTTCCAGGATCTAACCCTCTCCAAAGTGATGCTGGGAGACACGGTGATGTGGCCAGGATGCCACTGCAAGCCTACAGAGCCCATTGCTCGTGGGCACTTGCTGCCAGCAGAACCACTGTGCTTCCAGCCCTGTCGCTGCCTGATGAGCCCCCAGGGACGCCAAAGCCAGAAATACTTTTTATTAAAACACTGATTATTAAAACACTTTGAGGTACATTAAATTAATACAACCTGTGAGTTGTACAAACCAGTCTCTTGTGGCTTGAAAACAATTTCCTGTAAATTCTGCTTTAGCAGCATCTGTGGATCAGTATAGGTGAGGGAAAAAAAGCCCCACTTGAAATGAGCTTTTTGTTACATGATTCATTACAAGCATTTAATTTGTATGGTTGTCTTCAGGCTGAACGAAGACCTATGTCCTTATGAATGATGCACACCTCCCCCCACCTTGTTTACCATAGAGTTTAGGTCCAGGGCCCTACAACCACAGCACCCCACAGCCCCTAGGTCAGGGTCAGATAATGAGCCTAGGGATCAGACGATAGTCTCCTGGCAGATGTCTCCTCTTCAGGTGTATGTCCTTGTGCTACTGCATCCTAGTGGGTATCATCTGTCTGGACCTGTGATGGCCTTGATGCAGAGGTGGAAGGGCAAAGGCCATGATGGAGGGAGAGGGTTGTCTCCAGAGTAGCACCAGATAGGCCATTACAGATGAAGATGACAACAGGCACCTGGGTGGGCATAGCACATAAGAGACTGAGAGCTGCTTGCCCTGGACCATGGGTAACACAGACTGTGGGCTGTGGATGCTATTTCTGGGATTCCTGTTCCAGGGCATCCTTGAACTGGCTAGAGGTGCCAGGGCTGGGAGGGTCAGATGATCATCAGCCATTCTCTGGTGACTGTCACCCTTGCCCCTTCTCAGGACCTTTCCTGGCACCTTGGAGCCCAGGGCCCTCCTAGTGCCCACATAGCCCTCAGACTCTGAGCAGGGGCTGAGTAAGGCCCAGTCTGACTGCCTCACCTGTGCCCACAACCACCCTCAATAGCCTTATTTCTAGGAGCAGAAGGCCAGCAGGATAAAACCAGGTACAGTTAGATAATCTGCAAAGCAGTTGCTATGAGAGCAAATATAAAGTATAAAAATGGGCATGGGTGGGCTGGGGGAACAGAGCACCTAATAACCACAGGGACTAGAGGTGGCATGGACATGAGTGGTATCTGCATTATGCCATTGGGGAAGTACAGCCTACATGGGGCATGAGCCTAAGCAGCAAAAAAAAAAAAAAAAAGCTCTGACTGCAGAGAGGAGACAGGAGGGCACTAAGAGCTGCCACCCTTGCCATAGGATAAAAATACTGATGCTCAAGCCCCCCACCCTCATCCCCAGGGACTGAGTCAAGGCCTGAGAACTGCAGATTCAGCCCCCAGGGTCTCGGAAAGGAACATGGCTGTGTGGAGCCCATGCCTATGTGTGGACAACCTCAAAGCAAGAAGAGCCTGGTTCCTGGCCCTGAGACTCTGAAAATGCCCTGGTCCCAAGACTTGGGCTCCAGGGCTATCAATACTTCACTTGTGGGCGTGAAGGGGCACACTCACCTGCAAAGGGACTTGGCTTTTCAGGATTTCAGAAGCCCTCACTGGAGAACAATTAGAGAGTACATTTTCCTCTTAATAGTTTGAGTAAGTTCATCTCAGAGTAGTCATCTCTAATACGTCACTGGCAGAAAAGTTATAGTTTTGGTCAAAAGGTTTGAGTTCTGTTTTTCTGCTGGTGTTGTAACCTCTAGGAGGTACTGACCAGTAATATTAGTAAAGCTATGCAGGTGTCACATTGGCCACACCACTGCACCCCATACCTTAGCAACTCCTGCCAGTCCTGGGCTGGAGGAAGGTTCAGGCACCTGGGCTTGAAGGCACCCTGCTTGCTCCCTCCCAGTCTCCAACCACAGAAGCCCAGCCCAGCATGTTAGCTAAAGGAGGTTGGAGGCTGAGGATGGGGGTGAAGACAGGCAAAGGCCATAGAGCAGAGGGAAGGTGGGAGCTGGTTTGGCTGCCGGGGCTGCAGGGCAGCTGGGCAATGTGGGAGTTCATTCTCCTGGTCCTTCACCTGAACTTCTGGCCAGGCCTTTAGCTCCCAGAGGAGTTCCGGGGTGGCTTTGTGCATGTAGAAGCCTCAAGCCCAGCTCAGGGGGCCCCATGACCCTGCATGCTGGTGGCTCCTTGTTTGACAGCATATACACAGGTATTCCCATCAGACAGCTCTCCTGGATGCTGCTGGGAAGCAGCTGCCCTGATGTCAGAACATGAGGGGCCAAGGCCCAAGTGGCCGTCTCAGAGGGTGCTGGGCTGGCTGTTTCTGCATAACTAGCACATTGAGTGTTTTCACAAAAATAAAATAAATTGCAACCTACATCCTCTAACACAGGTACGTTTGCCTGACTAGGGAGGGGCTGCACTGGGTCATCTGAGACTGGGTTTATCAGAAAAATCACATGTCCCAGAGAGATGGCCTCATCCTCTTAGACCTCAACCCCTCAAGGCCAACTGACGGGCTAGAGACAAGGAAACTCCAAAATGACTGGTGGCTTGAAGTGGGTGCTTATGATTATGGAACAAATGGCAACAATGAATTTCTGTTTTCCACTGAAATGAGTTAAAGTGTGGGTCATGATGTGAAAGAGGATCCAGAGAGGAAGTAGGGAGGGGACTCCCCAAATCGAGGGCTGAGAAGGGGAGGCCTAGAAGAAAAGGTGATAAGAAGCCTGTCAAAGTCCCTTGCCATACTCCTCTGACTCCCACACAGTCCAAGAGTGTAATTTGTTTGCATAGTAGCTCTATAACCCTGAGGGCACCAAGTTGGACCCAGGCTGCCACCTGTGCTAGAATAACCTATTTTCTTTACACTATGATAGAGATTTGCTTATAGAGTGACAAGCCACATATGAAAGTGGCATCATTATTTGGTGTCTGCCTCCACCCACGTAACACACTAAACTAAAGTGTCAGGGGAGTCCTGCTTTTGATGATCCTGGTTTTGAAGATATGTGGGTTGTGCAAATACGTAAGCACTCAACTACCAACTGAAAGGTTGGAGGTCAAACCCATCCAGAGATGCCGCAAAAGAAAGGCCTGGATCTGCTTCTGGAAAGTCGTAGCCTTGAAAACCCTATGGAGCACAGTTCTATTCTGTATACATGGGGATGGCATGAGTCAGAATTGACCAGATGGCAACTAGTGTGGGGTTTTCAGATAGTGTCTGTAATTTACATGAGTAGTACCTGTAATTGTATTCAAATTTGTGTCACGTACATTAGTTCAAGGTGACACATGCCCAATAAAACTGCAGAACTCACTGTGGATATGAGAGATTTTTTTTTTTTTTTTTTAATATTCTGGAATAGGTAGGAAATATGATCACTGAAAAAACAATGGATCAGTCCACCTCAAGAGAAGGAGTACGAGCTCCCTGTCTAGGTCCCCCAGGATACTCATGGGTATCCCTTGTGCTTGTCCTCTGCAAAGTCTGTGGCTTCCAGCAAGAACGTTTGTGGCACCAGGATTGTCCATGTCAATGTGCAGAGTCAAGGTCCTTCACACTTGGTCCAGAACACTGGTGCTGAGGATGGTTTCGTCCACATGAAGTTCATCAGGGGCAACCACAGAGTGGATGGCACGCACCACATGCCGCACTTCAGCAGGGAGGGCACTGTGTGCATGCTCCAGGAACTTGGCCACCAGGACTCTGGTGTCTGTGTAGGCCTGGCTGTCCACCAGAGAGTGAGGACGCTGCTTGGAGGTGGGCTGTGAGGGCTCTGGCTTGAACTGCTGGCCCATTTTCCAGGCACCGCTTTGTTGTCCCAGTGGGGAAAGAAGGTGCTGACAAGCAGAGGTAGACTCAGCAGAGCGAGACAAGGGAACTACTAATAAAAGGGAGGATACCAATGAAAACAAGCAAAAACTCAGGCAGCTGTTAAACACATTCTTTAAAAGGCATTGGAAGCATACTGTGGCCCAGCTTTCTGCTTCTGAGACTGGGGCTCTATACACTTCCTGGCCCTTCCTACCCTGTACGGCCAGGCCTGCCTCAGCCTTGCATTTACTCGAGAGACCATAGTCTCCCAGACGGCAAAATGCAAGGGAAGCTGGGCAGGATCCCCTCTCACCTCTCCACTCAAATCCCCATTCCAAGCTAAAATGCCTCTTTACACAGCCTCTCATGCAGCCAAGATGCAGAAGCAGGAATGTTTGTGGACCACCCAAGGGATGCTTCTCATCCTTCCTTGGCTCAGTGACTTTTCCCTTGGAGATGACACTGTGTGACCACGTCAGAGGGACCTTCCACCTACATGTGCCGGTGCAGAGGGCAGCCACCTCTTGCCCATATCAATGTGCAGACTTGCGGTCCTTCACACCTGGTCCAGAATGCCAATGGCCAGGAAAGGGCAACAACTCCTAGTAGGGTGGCCACCACCCTTGACAACCCACACCACAAACCCCTGGCCTGATGGCACCTCAAGAAGAAGCCAGCTCAGGGCAGGCAGTTATGACTGACTCACTAGGAGCTAATCTGGAGCCAACTTGCCCAAACTGAGTTTCAAGTAGCCTAAAGTGAACACATTCTGGGTGGTCAGGGGCATTTTTAGTGCATTGAGCAAGCTCAGCAAGTCAACATGAGAAACTGCAAAAAACAAACAAACAAAAAACTCACTTTGGGGGCCAATATGCTCCAAAAGCAGACTCTCATCAATAAAGTGACAAGCAACAATATGTGCATTAAAGTAGTTATAGCCTCTAATAGGTTTCCATTCAGAGAGAAGGGAAATGCCCTTGTTTCCAGCCCACAAAATTGGGTAACTCCCATTCCTGGGGGACACATGGGGAGCTGGATTTGAAAACAATACAGCAAAAGAGACCCACAAGTCACCCCATCTCAGTAGGTGTCTGTGCAAAATGTGTCAGAAAATAAGTGTCTCACCGTTCCCTCGAGCAGCATGGGACAATCCTGCCTCCAGATCTTGAATGCACAATAGGGTATGTGAGGAACCATCACCTACACCAGAAAGAGAATTCCATTAACACATTCAAGGAAAAATCATTTATTGACCAAACTGTAATAAACCTCCCATGGCTAAGAAATACACTGTATCTGCCAGACAAGCAGGAGATAGCTCCTGAGTTTACCATCACTTGAATACAGCTAAAGCAGGTCTCCCCTGCAGCTCTGCTCACCATCAGTCACTCCAGTGACCCCAGGTCCAGGGAGGGAAGGGGGGAGGGGGGAAGGGGGGGAGCAACTCGCGGGGATACCAGCAGGCTGGCTCCGCAGTACCTGAACCACTGGACGCGCACGCGGTGGGGTCGCTGGCAGAGCGGGCCACGCGCCCAGGACCTGCTCGCACCCGCGCAGCCCCGCCGGGGCCCTCCGGGGAAGTGCGGCTCAAGCGTTGTCTGGGAGGCGGGGATGGTGGCGGAGAGTGCGGAGCGCCGGGACCATCCGGAGAGCAACTGCTTGGGCCTGGCGCAGCACTGCGCTCAGTGGCAGGGAGACTCGCGGGGTCCGCTGGCGCTACAAGGCAAGACAGCACAGGTTAGGGGTGCCGCTGTCCTCCTTTCTATACCCCAATCCTGGGTACACTCTGAAACCTTGGGGCCGTCAGGATTCCGATGGAGGCTAAGCAACGCTCCTCCATGGTGTTGAAGAGCTAGGGGCATGAGGAGACCTCCCAAGAGTCATCCCTGGAGGGTGTTGGGGGGATTGGCTCACAGGCTAAAGGGCAGAACAGACAGCTGTTTCTCCTTTGGTGTGGGGTGATGTCTACCCAGGGTTAGGAAGTCTCAGGCTCCTAAGGGCCTGAGACTCTGCCTGCCCCACAAAGTGGTGTTACTCTGGGCCTGGAGTACAGCTCCTGATCAGACAGGGTGGAAGAAATACAGTTGATGTGATGCCTGCCTTGGTTCTCAAAGTGCTGTCCCTGGACCAGCAGCATCAGCATCAGTTGGGAACATGTTAGAAATGCAGATTCTCCGGCCCCATCCAGTCCCAGAATTCCAGGGTGGGCCCAGCCATCTGTGCATTCACAAGCCCTCCAGGAGGTTTTGACTCCCGTTCAAGTTTTAAAACCAATGCTCAGACTGGTGATGCTGGTCAGGTCTGGCTCTAGCTCCTACCATGTCAAGTGGGGTCTCCAGACCAGTAGCACTGGAACTCCTGGGCTGCACTCTAGATGGACTTGACTGGAACCTCTTTTAAAGAGACTCACAGGGAGTCTGCACCCACAGTGAAGTCTGAGAAGCTCTGATTCCCCATTCTTTTCCCCCATCATCAGATACCTCAGGGCTCACTGCCATGAGGCTAACTACTCCACTGTGGTAGATATTGCAAAGTGTGTGGCCTAAGTAGGGGGCACTTTGTTAGATCCCAGAAGCATGAACTCCTCCAGGAGCAAAGGCTTTGGGGTCTTTTCCTTCCATTTCTTTCCATGGGTTCTAACCAGGAACATGTGGGAGAGGCCACAACCAGGAGGAGCTGTGTTCTGATACTGGCTTTGGTGGCATAGTGCCTAAGGCATTTGACTGCTAACCAGAAGGCAGGCAGTTCAAACCCACCAGCCACTCCTCAGAAGGAATGTTGGGCAATCTACTTCCTTAGTGATGTTGCCTCAGAAACCCAAGCAGGGGTCACTATGAGTCGGATCCAACTCTATGGCAGTGCATTTGGTTTGGTTTGGTATTGTCTCCGTACATTCCATTCCCCTTGCTCCGTGTACCTGAGCTGGGGCTCAGGGCCTTTACAGGCAGCATCTCAATTAGCCTTCACCACCCACAGTGACTCCCATTCCACACCCGAAGAAATGTGGTTGAAAGAGGGTAAAGAAAGAGCTACTAAATGACTGGAGCCAGTTGGAAGCATGCCAACTCTAGAACACTCTTAATCACCCCCTCCACTGTCCATCACTGCCCTCCTCAATACCTGGTGGAAGAACATTAGCAGTGTATTCAGAAAAACAGAAGGATGGACAGTACTTCATACATCACACATTAGAAAAATAAAATTCTTCAGAAAGATTAATCTTACAACCCTTGGAGAAAGTCTTTGCAAGCATGATAGAAACCATAATGGAAAAGGGTGATAAATTTGACAATGTAAAAACTATAAATGTGCACATGGAAAAAGGCATCATTAATGGAAGAGAAAATAAGGGACAACCTGGGAAAGTATACCTGCAATTCATAGGAAGAGGTGTTTCTCTTATACATTATCTCATACATGTGCTTAAAAAATGTGCTTTTCTTATAAATCTACTAAAAGATAAACATGATAAGAGAAAACAAACAAACAAAAAAGGGGGACCCAAAACTGACCTACAAATGGACAAAACCAAAGCAAACTGGTTGCTGTAGAGTTGATTCTGACTCATAGTGACCCCATGTATTTCAGAGCAGAACAGTACTCCATAATGCTGCTGTGTTTCTGTTGTGTGTTGTAGAGTCGATTCCAATACATAGTGACTTTACAATATAGGTGGCTTAGTGCCTAAGGTATTTGACTGCTAACCAGAAGGCTGGCAGTTCAAACCCACCAGCCACTCCTAGGAAGGAAGGTTGGGCAATCTACTTCTGTAGTGATACCATCTCAGAAACCCAAGGAGGGGTCGCTATGAGTCAGATCTGACTCGATGGCAGTGCATGTGTTTTTTTTTAATCTTTACCAGAGCAGATCACCAGATCTTTTCTCCTACAAAGGCAATGGTGGGTTCTGCTGACCTTTCAGTTACCAGCCAAGTGTTTAATCATTGTGCCACTAGGGTTCAAATACTCTGTGTGTATGTGTGTGCAGTGCAGTGAATTGCTTAATATGGCCTTTCTAGCAATAGTCCTCCATTTTGTGATGTATTATGAATTCTAGTCTGTATGCCTGTTTAGGTAGGATGTATATTGAGTCCTGCCTTGCTGGAGGGTATGACTAAAGTTACCATCCTTAGTTTCCATGACGGTATATATGTGAATGTTCTGGTGAAGTTCGCTCTCTTGCTCCAGTCCTGCATGTGGTTCGTAGACATCTAACCCCTGGACTTGAGATAGCAGCTGATCATCTGACCCACCAATTTGGGTTTGCCAGCCCCTATACCAATGTGAGGAGAATCCTCCAAACCTACCCATGGACTTGGGTCTTGTCAGCCCCCACCACCAAGTGAGCCGTTTCATTGGCAGTATGTGAGTTCCATGAGATGGTACAGTGAAATACGGAACCCTGACAGGAGGGACAGTGCTGAGGGAGGAGGAGTTGTTGATGTTAGAGATGATGGATTAGTACAGCAGTTTGGAAAAGTTGGACATTTGGGACATCTTGAACCTCTGCCTTACAGGAACCTTCTAAAAGAAATTATTTGAGCAGTGTATCATGTTTCCCTACAAGGGTGATAAAGATCATCAACAGTAACAATGTCCTGTGGGCTCATATATTCCTGGTCGGTATGTAAACTAGTAATAAAACCTTTCCAGAATGTAATTTGGCTAATATACTAAAATATAAAATATATATTCCCTTAGACTCAGCAATTTCACTTCTAGGAATTTATTCAAAGAAAACAATTGAGTAAATGCTCAGAGATAAATGTATAATATAGAAAAGAAGTAGCAGTCTACCATCTTGTTAGAAAAATTAAAACCTATAAATTATAATGATTAACTTTATCAAAATTATCAAATTTTTATCAAAATGCCTAGAGTAACATAGGGGGCACAGTTACAGATATTTCCTAGACATAACCAAATACCTTGTGAGACAGTTTACTGGATTTGAAGGCTTAGGGCTATAGTCTTGTGGGACAGCTTGGTCAGCTGGCATAACATAATTCATATAGATAATGTTCTACATCCTAGTTTTATGAGTAGTGCCTGGGATCTTAAAAGCTTGTGAGCAGACATCTAAGATACAAGAGTCTAAAATAGTCTCTATTTGTCTGGAACAAAACAAAATGAAGAAAACCAAAGATTCAAAGAAACTACTCTACAGGACTAATAGCCCAGACGAACCATAGCCTCATCTAGTCTGGGACCAAGAGCTAGATGGTGCCTGGCTATTACTAAGGACTATTCTGACCAGTAACACAATAGAAGGTCCTGGACAGAAAGGGAGAAAAATGTCAAACAAAGCTCAAATTCCTAAAAAAAAGGCCAGACTCACTGAACTGATAGAGGCCAGAAAAACCCCTGAGACTATTGCCCTAAAATATCCTTTGAATTTGGAACTAAAGCCACTCCCAGTGGCCACCTTTCATCCAAATAATAGACTGGCTTATAAAAGAAATAATATCACCCATGAGTACTGTGATCCCTTAAATAATCAACTATATGAGACTAAATGGCCAAGAGAAGGTAAGGAGGGGCAAGGAAGTTGGATTAATGGAAAAAATCCTGACACATTGTGGAAAATGTAGCCAACGTCACAGAAAAATTTGCATAAAATTGTTAAAATGCGAACTTATTTGCTGTGTAAACCTTCACCTAAAACAAAACAAAATATTATTTAAAATATGCCCAAAGTATTTCATGTTGTTTTTATTAGGTGCCGTCGAGTCAGCTCTGACTCACAGCAACCCTATGTACAGAACAAAACACTGCCCTGTCCTGCGCCAGCCTCACAATCCTTGCTATAACTGAGTCCATTGTTGTAGCCACTGTGGAAATCCATCTTGTTGAGGGCCTTCCCCTTTTTCATTAACTCCCCCACTTTATCAAGCACAATATCCTTCTCCAGGGAATGGTCCTTTCTGAACAAAGTCTGGCTATTCTCGCTTCCAAGGAGCATTCTAGCTGCACATCCTCCAGGGTAGATTTGTTAGTTCATTTGGCAGTCTATGGTACTTTCTTTGCCAAAAAGCACAACTCAAAAGCATCAACTCTTCTTTGGTCTTCTTCATTCATTGTCCAGCTCTCACATGCTTATGAGGCAATTGAAAATACCATGGCATGGGTTAGGTGCACCTTAATCTTCAAGGAGACATCTTTGCTCTCCAGCACTTTAAACAGGTCTTTTGCAGCAGATTTGCCCAGTGCAGTACATTGTCTGATGTCTTCACTGCTGTTTCCATTGGTGTTAATTGTGAAACCAAGTAAAATGAAATCTTTTTTTCCTAGATTCATACTTCATACATTCTGTGTTACAGTTATTAATGGATGTTTGCAGCTATTTCTTCTCATTTTGAGTTGTGCCACATCAGCAAATTGAGGTCTCAAAAGCTTTACTCCATCCACATCCTTAACATCAGCTCTACTCTGAGGAGGCAGCTCTTCCCCAGCTGTATTTTGAGTGCCTTCTGACCTGAGGGGCTCATCTCATGGCACTATATTAGACAATGTTTCAGGGCTATTCATAAAGTTTTCCAGTGATATATCAGACAGTGTTTCACTGCTATTCATAAGGTTTTTAATGGCTAGTTCTTTGATAAGTGGATAGCCCCTTCCTTCCTTCTGAGTCTGTCTTACTCTGGAAGCTCTGCTGAAACCTGTCCACCATGGGTGACCCTGCTGGTATTTGAAATACCAGTTGCATAGCCTCCAGCTTCACAACATACAAGCCACCACAGTACGACAAACTGACAGATGAGTGGTAGAAGTATTCCATAGCAGTATATTAAAAATATTATTACTAATACACATAATTATCAATCTCTCTTGATCCCAATTCTCTCTGAATGCTGGTGATTGTCAAATGGCTGAGTTCCTCAGGGAAATGGAGTCATGAGGAGACCAATGTTCGGCAGCTCTGAATGTATGTGTGTGGAGATACATAAATGTACATATACACACATGTGCACATATATATACATATACTATTTGAAACATAGCCTTAGTATAACATTACAAGAGAATCTCATGGCCCAAAACTAGTAATTGTTTTTTGTATTCTTTCACACTGGTTGAGTTGTGTGACTGTGATTTTACAGTAGTCATAATCCTAGTGGACTTCCAATATTTCAGCTAATAGATCACAAGCATTTTCTCTAATTAATGTATAAAAATGTAGTTATCATATGTAACATATTCTCCCAGACTTTTATTAATGAACTTCATTATTCTCCCAAGTTTTATCACTACAAAAGCACAATAACAACTATCTTCAAGTGTAGTATTTTCTTCTTTTGCATTACTCCTCTATCATGGTTCCAGAAATGAGATGACTCCATCACAGGCATAAACAATTTTATGGCTTTTTATCCAAAATGCCTTTCCAAAGAGATGGGCCAGTTTATAAGTGGCCAGTCAGGACTAGGGGTAGCACCTCCCCTCCAGCTTTGCTAGCAGCGATGTCATTATTATTTGGCTTTTTTTAAATTAATTTTTATTTTTGTTAATATTTTTCTATATTAATAGATGAAAAAAATACCAACCAAAACCAAACTCATTGCCACTGAGATGATTCCAACTCATAGTGACCCCCTTTGGGTTTCTGAGGTGGTAAATCTTTATGGAAGTAGATTGCCCAGTCTTCCTTCTGTGGAGTGGCTGGTGGGTTTGAACCACCAGCCTTCTAATTAGCAGTCAAATGCCTTAAGCACTACACCACCAGAGCTACCAGAATCTGGAATAATACTCCTAAACCAATAAGTAAGTTCAGGAATGTTGCAGAATGCAAGATGAACACACAAAAATGAATCAGCTTTCTATCACATATACTAACAATGAACATGCAGAAGTAGATATTAAAACCACAATACCATCTACAATCACTCAAGAAGAAGTGAAATACTTAGGCATACACTTAACAAAACATGTATGGGATCTATATGCTGAAAATTACAAACAGTGGATGAAAGAAGATCCAAATAAATGGAGAGACATACCACATTCATAGATCAGAAGATTTAACATAGTAAAAATGTCAATCTTCCCCAAACTTATTTTTGTTTAATGCAATTATTTAATCCAATTCCTATCAAAATATCCACAAGATTTTTTTGTAGACACAATCTGATTCTAAAGTTTACATGCAAAGGTGCAGCTTCTAGAATAGCTAAAATAATCTCTACCCAATATTAAGGCTTACTATAGGCAGTGCAAATCAACCAGCTGCTCTGTGGAAGGAGGATGAGGCAATCTACTTCTGTAAAGATTTCCAGCCTTGGAAATCCACTGGGGGTTGCTATGAGTCAGAATCAACTACATGGCAGTGGGTATATAGCTATAGTAATCAAGATTGTGGTACTGGCAGAGAGTAGATAAAATATCAAAGGAATAGAATATAGAACCCAGAAATAGATTAAACTGATTTTTGACAAAGATACAAAGGCAATTTAATGGAGGGAGAATACACTTTTCCACAAATGGGACTAGAGCAATTAGACATCCATAGGCAAGGAAATGAACTTCAACCTAAACCTCACACCCATTACAGACAGTAATTTGTAGGTGTCTTTTCTAAAGTGAACCTGGTTGGCCTGCTATCCTGTGATCTCCTGGCCGATGAGGACTGGCCCCTGAGTCACAGGTCAAGCTACAGTTTACTGCCCAGGTCCCAGGTTCTGGGCAGTGAGAAGGGTCAAGCTCCACTGAGTTTCTGACAGGAGCACACAGACTCTATCCTTCACTATCTGTATGGAGAAGACAAATACGAGTGTTCTCCCATAGCCTCTAGGAAGCTCTGCCTTCCCAACCCCATTGTTCTCTAGAACAAGAACTTTGTGGGAATCATGTTGCTGCAATAAGGTGGGGTGCAGCTACAGGGCCCTAAAGCCCAAACCTTATAATGCAGTGGGCCAGGCAGGACCACCCTGTCACAAAGCAATTGGGAGACACTGAGCCCTGGACTAGCCCCCTGGGAAAGCCATTGGGCATCACCTCTGGACACAGCTCCTGATGGTCCATTGGAGCCACCAAGGGAAGGATGATATCACTTTCAAATCCCCAACTGGGCTCCTGTAACCCAGAGGTAGCCTCTTAGAAGGATGCCACCTTCCTATATCCCTTAGATGTTAACTAGGAGTGGGAGGAGGCAGGGAGCTCTGGGACTGTAACTGTATTCCTTTTGGGGAGCCTTAGTTATCTGACTTTGGTCTTTGCATAAACATGCCCACATGGACCCAGCTGAGAACCTCAAGGTGGCTCTCTGGAAATATCCAGTCCTTCCTGACTCCTTGAAGACTCTGGCTACACTTCTTGCCCCAGTGCTTTGTACTGTGGCTTTACCCCTGTGGACCAGTGTCTGGGCTTGTGATCTGCCATTTCACATTTGCCCTTCAATGTCTTCCAGCCTCTGCCCTCTGAAGGCAGGCAGGGGGACTCAGCCGTAGGTCACTACTCACCCAGCCCACTATCCTTCTGTGAAAGGAGCTGAGTGGATATTGACCTGGTATTTTTCCTCTGAAAAGGGTTGTTACTGGAGCCTCACACTCCCAGACTGAGTTCTGCTTTCTTCAAATTCATACCTCTCAAGTGAAGGAGAAAGAGCACATCTCTCCTCCCCCAGGGGAATGGGTGAAGTTTGCCAGGTATACTGACTTACTGGAGGCAGGCTAAGGAATAAATATGGAGATTTTATATGGTCCATGCAAGGTTGTAGTAAGTTTATCCTCTTAATGTATAAGAAATGGAGAAGAAAGTAGAGATAGAAGAAAAAGAGGGGAAAAAAGAGACACATTTTAAAAATAAAAACATACCGCTTCAAATTAGCAACCCCCAATAGTGATACTGCCTCGGAAACCCAAGGAGGGGTCACTATGAGTCAGGTCTGACTCGACGGCACATAACAACAACAACAACAACATACCGAAAGAAGGGAGATTACCTTGTGTGCTGAAGCCAGCAGTGGCATTTGGATCTCCGGAGCTGGACTCAGTCACCTGCTGATCTATACGTGTGACCTACAGCAAGAGAAACAAAGCATCAGGAGGTCTTCAGTGGAGCTTAGCACAGGTGCAGCCTGAGAAAGCACACGTACCACTGTACACCACAGCATCCCCCCATCACACAGCTAACGTTAAAGCTGTTCTGACATTCCCACTGGTTTCCTCTAATTTAGAGGGTGGGTGAGAAGGTGGAGGAGCCCTGGTCGCACAGTAAAGTGCCTGACTGCTAACCAAAAGGTCGATGGTTCAAATCCACCAGTGGCTCTGTGGGAGAAAGATGTGACAATCTGCTTCCATAAAGATTTACAGCCTTGGATACCCTATGGGGCAGCTCTATTCTGCCCTGCAGGGTCATTATGTTTGGAATAGACTCATGGCAATGTGTTTTGTCAAGGTGGAGGACTTCCTCAAGAGACCAAAGCCTATTTCTGTGACCTTCTGCAATCAGAGCACCCCATACTCCCCAAAAGCCCACCCAAGCTGTGGTACCCCATCCAGTCCACTCATCTTCACCAAAGGGCAGTTCGGTACTCACAAAGGCCACACAGGATTCCCCAGGGCCACCATGCCCTGGCAGTACAGTCCTGCCCTCACTTCTTCTAACCACCTTTTCTCAGCCACTCTCTCCTCTGTGTTCTCTCTCACAGAAGAGTTAAGGCAACGGGGACAGTCATGAGTCCCATAATCTTCTGTGCCAGCAGTTTGGACACTGACTGAGCATTTTATAAAGTTATTGACTGAACAAAGCCCAAACTGCCACGGAGCTTGCAGGCCTTCTCTTTCTTGTGTCTTACAGATGGAATCCAGAAGCTAGGCCTCTCCACCCTGATCTCTGCGCAGGGTCAGAGCCCACCCAAGGTTGGGGGCCAGCATGCGCGAGGGCCTGCAGCCCAGGGAACATGGTACACACAACCCACCATCTTGATAGGACAGGAACTGAGCCACCGTGCTGTTTCAGCTTTCCTCTCCAAACGACTTATGACTGCCCCGGAAGGGGAGCAGCAGGGGTTAGGGAGAAGCCCTTCTCTGCTCCCAGCCTTGCTTTTGAGTACTGGACACCGCGTCCGCCCCCACCCTCACCCCCACCCCCGCCCTCAGCTAGCGCGCAGTTCTACCTCGCTCTGGGGCGCAGTGGCCCGGCACTAGAGCTTGCCGTAGAATACCATGAATCCTGTTATCTACACTGCGTATGCGCTCCCGTGCGCCCCTCTGCTATTTCAAAAAAAAAAAAAAACAATTTCTGAATCCTCGTGTTATTTCAGGATTACTTTGGGGACACGCTTACAAATAATGAGCTCCGGGGGGAGCCGGGAAGGTGCCGGAGTCCTGCGGCTTGGTCCGATTCTGGCTTAGGTAATTACATTGCGCCTCCCTGGGCGTCCCCACTTCAATCAGAGAGCTGGCTCTTCATCTGTCCTCCTTACCCTGACTCGCTCACGGCCACAGGTGTGCAGGGCTGCAGCCTTCCACCAACACAAAGGGGTGAGCTGGTCCGTGCTGGTGGGAGAGGAGCTCTGAGTGAGACCCACACTGGGCTGAGAGCGCTGTCAGCTGGCAAGAGACCCATCGAAAGTGTCCTTGGACCAATACAGACGCTTTAGAATAGCACCATCATACAAGTTACCATCCATTGTGGGCGCTTTTTCCTGATATTCTCTTTTGGGGAGGGAATTTGGTAAGGAAGAATTAGCACCATCATCACCCCTACCGTCTCTCTTCTGGACTTACTGTATGAAAATAACCAAGGTTGGAAATCTCTGCCAAGAATCTTCTGCTAAATCACACACACACACAAAGAACAATGTCCTAAACATTTGTTTCCTTCCACATATCTTCCTGTATCTAACATTCTACTCTATTTATTTATTTATCTGCAGGAATGGGTGGCAATTTCGAACCTGCTGCCTGGAAAAAAATCTTCTGTTAATAAAAATAAAACAAGAGAAACAAAATATATCTTGGGACAAGGTCAGGAGGAAATTAGATTCATCTCATATTTTGCAGAAGCATCACTCCAGCTTCCCTTTGGCTCAGTAGACAGTTGAATCTGGTTTGAGAATAGACAGCTCCTGGGGAGTCTGTCTGTCGCCTCCAGCAATCAGGGTGGCCAGGGTTTAATTTGAATTTGAATTTGACCTTCCTTGGTGTGAAAAGCCACTTTACTACACTGAAGATGTGGGGAAATGCTTTGGTTCACACAGTATTTTCAATTACATATAAAGGAAAGGGTGGAGAAGAAATATATTTGTGGCCTAGAAAATAAGTTGAAATGTGAGTTTAGCAGTGAAGGCTCATACACATAGCTCCTTTCAGAAGGAACAGTGGTGAAAAGATGGTCTAGGGAAGAGGCCTGAGAATAACAGAACATTCAAAGGGACACACAGACTTATTCTCAGGTATACTACTTTTATTAGTTTAATAGCTGAGAAATTAATTGGCACTTACGCAAATAAGTCAATTTTCTCTATTTCTCTCTTCCTTTTAGAAAGCTCTTTGGCTAAGGTACATTGCATGGAAATTATGCCATCTCCTAGGTTGAGATGGGAGCTCTGGTGGCGTAGTGTCTAAGGCATTTGACTGCTAACCAGAAGGCTAACCAGAAGGGTTCAAACCCACCAGCCTCCTTGGAAGGAAGGTTGGGCAATCTACTTCCATAGTGATATTGCCTTGGAAACCCAAGGAGGGGTCACTATGAGTTGGACTTGACTCGATGGCAATGAGTTTGTTTTTTTTTGGTTTTAGGTTGAGATCAGCCATTTAGTACCAGATTTCTAAAGATCAGTTCTTTTGGAGTCATTACAAACAATCATGGAAAATGTGAATTAAGATTTAGGCAATGTCTCAAGGCAATCTTTGAAGATTCTTTGCTCACAAATTTTATAATGTAAGTTTGAAAGTACAAGCAATAATTTTGAGCCTTTGGGGTTAGCCTGCCTGTAATCATGCTCATTGGCTTCCTCTGATACTGGTCTCCATGCCTCTGGTTTCCTTTCCTCCTATCATGTTGCCACCACATTAAATTTCCTAGGGCACTGTTGGCTCCTGTCATCCTAATTAGGTCATAACAATGTAGACCAAACAAAACCAAACTCACTGCTGTGGAGTCGGATCTGACTCACAGCAACCCCTCCTTGGGTTTCCAACATGGTATCACTACAGAAAGGCTGGAGGGGGCAGCATGTCTGGCTTCGCAGGGATAGGCCTTGGGCTAGTGATGGTGATTCTGTCTTTCTCTTGTGGGGCTGCCCAATGTACCTTCTGAGGAGTGGCTGTTGGGTTTGAACAGTGAGTCCTAAATGCCAATCTTTTCAAAGACACCCAAACTATTTTATAAATCTCTTTCATACACCTTCAGCTCCAGGTGAACATTAGGGATCCATGCTCTATACCTTGACCTATGCCTGGCTGGGCCTGTACCATGGATGGTCTCCTTTGTTTACCTGCCTCCCAGTCCTACCCAAATTCCAGGCTTAGTTCTTCCAGTGAAGCCCAAAGCAGTTTAATGTGTACCTGTCCTACTATTGAAGTCCCTGGGTGGTATAAACAGTTAATGTGCTTGGCTGCTGCGATGTAGTAAATTACATAGTGTGACTTTTCTAGCCATAAGTCTGTAAACTCCTTGGTGGAATTTGCTGTGAACAACTGAGTAGCTCCTGATTGTTAAAGTTATCCATCTGGGGTATTTCTGTTGGGAGCAGCACAAAGTAGTTTTCTGGGAAGTTCACTCTCTCCAGGTGTATAGAATTCTGATATTGGGATTGGTTAGTGTTCACTCTGCCAGGTTCAAAAGGAGCCCTTCTAGAGGCAGAAGAGGTCTCTTTGACTGCTGTCTGAGAAAGACATTGTGGTAGTTCAGTTTGTGTGTCAACTTGGCTGGGCCTCGTTGAGTGGCTGGGAAGCTGGAGGTAGTATTCCACATGATGAGACTGGTCATGAACTCCATGGTGGAATCTACTGTGAGCAGCTGAGTAGCTGCCTTAGGGAATGTGGTCTGCTTCCTATATATAATTAGAAGCCTTGGGGAATGGTCTCCATCTTATGGCACCTTAAACCCTGCATGTAGCTGTGTCATTGTTCAGCAGCCTGCCATGCTCTGTCGACCTTGGGACTTACAATGGACTTGATTTAATGGCCTGCTGTGTGATTTGGTAATATTGTGACTGTGCCTTGTTACCTATCAACCTTGGGCTTGGCAGCCTCAGCAGCCAGCAGCTGTCTGAATGAAGAAAAGTGCTTGAACAATTTCTCTCAGAAAGATCGGCACAAGGCTGGACCCCATGAGGTGGAGGTTAAAGATGTCCCAAATGTCCAAACTGCCATGCCACTCCATCATTTCAGACATTAACTTCTCCTCCTCCCAGTAATTTCCCCCATCTTATGGTTCTGTATTTCGCTGTAATGCCTTACAGAACTCACAAATACCCAAGGGATTGTCTCACGTAGTAGTGGTGGAGGCTGGCAGGCTGGCGAGTCCCAGGCCCGTGAGTGGGTCTGGAGGATCCTCCCAATTATTGGGGTTTCATGAACCTTGATCAGCAGATTGGATGATGGCTGCTATCCCAAATCCAAGGGTGAGATGAGGATGAGCCAAAACACAGAGCCGGAGCAAGAGGAGGGTGAACCTTCCCAGGAGATTCATAGGTATACCCTCAAGGAAGCTAAGGGTGGTGATTCGAATTATACCCTCCAGCAAGGCAGGACTCAAGATATATTCCACCTGTGTTACTCCAACAGAAATAACTTAAGTGGATGGCATTAACAATCAGAAGCTCAAGGCAAATCCCATCAGAGAATCCATTGCCAGTCATTATAGGAATGACTACTATCAGCTGCCCAGCCAAGTTGATACCTGACCTTAACTACTACACCACCCCAAATAGGCATGGACAATAGGATTTACAATATATCACAGAATGGAGGACAATGGCTAGAAGGGCCACATCAAGCAATTCACTGCAAAAAGCCTCTAGCTTCAGTGGGCTGGGAGCTGGAGGCAGAAGCCCAAGGCTGAACAGCTTCTACCCAGCCTCTAGAGCTTGGCACTTTGAACTTGGATTTAAAGCCTCCAAATTGTAAGAATAAACTCCTTTTTGTTAAGGCCATCCTATTTGTGGTATATTTCTGTCAGAGTGGCACTAGGTAACAAGAACAGAAGTGCTGCTGAGAGAAACACGCTCCTAAGAGACATGCAGTGCTGGGAGAGAGACTGTTGGCTGAGAGACAGCGGGGTGAGAGAGATTGAGCGTTGTTCCAGAACTTGAATTGTAGCCTTGTGCTTCCCTAATAAACCCCATAATCTGTGAGTTCTGTGTGGCCACTGCAGCAAATTATCAAACCCAGCAGCGAGGTGGTGGATGCTGTAGGAGGAATGGTTGGTGTCAGGGTAGGTGAAAGGGCTGGAGGGAGGCAGCATGTCTGGCCTCACAGGGATAGGCGTTGGGCTACTGATGGTGATTCTGTCTTCCTCTTGTGGGGTTAGAGGAGATGAGAAGATGCAGCCTCCCTGCCTCCTTGGCAGCTGCTAACCAAAAAGGTTGGTGGTTAGTATCCACCCAGAGGGTCCTCTGAAGAAAGGCCTGGTGATCTTCTGAAAATTCAGCCTTTGAAAACCCTATGGAGCCCAGTTTGACTCCAACACTCATGGGCTTGCCATGCAGTGGAGTTTACGTGACAGCAATTGGCACTGGTATCAGTGCCAGCATCTGACCTTAACGTTCATCTCACCATTTTGTGAAAGAAATTACAATGTAGAGAATTCCTAATCATTTTGGAGAATGGTTTCATATTGGTTTTTTAACCAGTATTATCATTCTCCAATATCTATTCTTCAGGGAACTAGAGTATAACAGTAATAAAGCACTAATAAAATATCTTTGTAGTATCTGAATGTGGTTCAGTACACCATCTGTCTGCCATCATTGTCATTATAACTCCTCTGGTGGTTATAGAGAAGTCTCTCCTTCTGTGTTCTGCCTCTCTTGTCTTTCCAGGGACTTCCCTCCATTGATGCCCCATCCCTGGGCCAGCCTCTCCCTCTTCCTATAGGTCTTCCTCCATCCATTTTGTAACATACTCAAGGCCCAACACCCAAAACCCCCCTCTAACTACTGTCCTATCTTCTCCCTTTCTGCCAAACATCTTGAAAGAGTGTCCCCCTTAAGGGCACAATAGGTGATCTGGGATCTAATGGGTGCCAAGGAAGAGGGGAAAGGAGAGCACTTTTGGGCAGAGGGTTGCCAAGCCTGGTGCCTGGGACATAGTAGGGGGCAGGGGAAGGGGATGGAGAGTGGGCAAGTTGGAGCCCTAGGAGCCTCCAAGGCATCTGAGTGAGTGAATGTGTGTGTGTGTGTGTGTGTGTAAGTAGTGATGTGTAGTAGGGTGAAGGCAATCTGCTCACGTGGGCTTCTTAGATTCCATGGTCATCATTACATAGGAGTGCGCTTTCTTGAGCAGTTAAGGACCTTGGAGAGTGTTTGGGATTCCCATAGAGGCTCCTTGAGCCTGGGGAACTGGACAGGGAGCAGTGTGCCCATGAGAGGGAAGTGAGCAGTGTGTGGGGACAGAGCTCTGTGAGATGAAGATTTTGGAGGGTAGTAGAGGAATTCAATCCATAACAGGGCCCCAACAGACAGGCTTCAGAATAAGCCAAGCACCAGGGATCTCCCACAGAGCCTAGATGGCAGAAGCCAGAATTCAGAGGGAGGGCATCCATAGGCCCTGATACCTGACTCATCATCAAGGGGCTGCTGATGGCCATGAATCAGGAGCTAGACTGCACTGGGTAGAGGATGGATGGAGGTGAGGAGGTGCAGATGAGGGTGTAGACAAGTAGGTTTTGATTTCAGTGTGCATTAGAATTGCCAGGGGTGGGGAGAGCTTGTCAAATATAGATTGCTAGGTCTTTCCCAGAGTTTAGTCTGTGGTGGTGGTGGTGGTGTGATATGCTAAGAATCTGCATTCCTGTCATTTTCCCAGCTGCTGCAGCTGCTATTCTAGGCCCACACTTTGAGAGCCAGAGTTGACCAGTCTTTCAAGATATTTGGCAGGGGGAGGGGGAAGAAGTCAGTATAGTAGTTGGAGGCTTTAAGGATATTACAAAATGACACTTGGTACCCCAGAAAGGGGAGCATTCCTGTTGCAGATATTTTCCCTAAACTGTGCTGAAGCTAAAAGCCACTGGGCTTAGCAACTAGTGTGTTTAGTCTTTGCTTCCTGAGTGTGTGAGAATTTGTCTCACAATTCCCAGCCTGTATAGAGTGCCATGTTCTTTTTCCCATAGGCTGATTGGTGCCTGTGTAGGCACAGCCAGAATGTAAACTGTCTCTCCATCCACAGAGGGTATCTGGCAGCTTATGCCTGCTCAGTCAATGGTGGGGAAAGGGCCAGCCCTGCCATGTGGCCTACTCCCCAAGGGCCCTGGAGCTTTCACAGGGGCAGTGAGAAAACAGGTGTGCTGTCCCTAGGTCTGGGGAGGTTGGAGTCCTGCGCTTATGCTGGGTGGTGACAAGAGGTCCCTCACAAGAGTGTCAGTGGGGACTTGCTTGATTGAAGTTACCCATATATCCCACAGGACAGTAAGTAAATCAGAGAAGTCTGTGAATCAGAGGCAGGACACCTGTCCATCTGTTCTGAAATCTTGCCTGGCTGCTGGAAAGCTCAGGAGCAAGGTTCTAAATGTAGTCTGTTAACTACACAGCATTAAACCTTCACTCTTCTGAGGTTCCCCAACAAGTACTATCCATACTCCTCTGCTTGGTGTTGGGGCCCAGCCAGGCCATGGTCTACCCTCTCAGTGTATTTCTCTAGCTCCTTGGGCTCTACCATCCCTGATGCTTCCCCATAGGCTCTTCATCTGGTCTCCTGGACTCCTGGACTACAGCAGGGCCACAGCCTTTCCTATCATGTGTCCTGTCCAGGTGTTCATGTCTCTCCGCCTGGCTTGGGTCATTCAATATTGATGAAGGGGATGATGATGACAATGACTATGGTGATAATAATGCCAAAAAAGGGCAACTGACCCTTGCTGAGCTCAGTACTTACCATGTTGTATCCTTTGTTGTCACACTGGAGACATCATCCCATTTCATCCTATGAGTATGGTTCTACTCTGACCCCCACTTTACAGATGAGGAAGCTGAGGCTCCGTGAACACATATTGAGGGCCTGTTATGGGTGTGAGCATACCCAGCAACTCTTAGCTCTGAGAAATTACACCTGGGTGCTAAGGTACCACTTGGCTCAGGTCAGGCCTAGGGATTGGAACTGTTTTCTTACCTTCCCATTGTGTGATGGCTGAGATGTTCTTTCCTGTAGCCACAGGCCTCTGGGTATGCCCAAGTACGAAGATCAAGATCCATCCCAAGGGTCTCTGCCCCTGGGTGAGAACCTCTACCAGTTCCCCCACATGTACCCCAGGTACTTTGGCTAGTACTACATTCAGACACACCTGAATTGTGATGCAGGTCACAGCAGCTGAGCTGGGGAGCTCAGGAGAAAAGCACCCACACTGGCGTTCCATGGCTGGGGCTGGCATCTCTGAGCACAAGTACTAGTGTTGCCTCCTGGGCAAACTCTTATCTGTGACTGGTGGCTCTGCTGTACCACAGGACTGGGACGAGCAGTATCCCACAGGGTACTGACAGTACTGAGAGGTGCAGACGCATAGCACCAGCACACAGAAGGTCCCGTATGAGGCAGTCCTGGTGCCACACAAAAAAACAAATTCACACCTGGGTATTGGACTTCTATAGGGCCAAACCCAGAAGATATCCGAGCACTGCCCAGGACCCAGTCTTATCTGAGGTGTGGCCTCACCTGGCTGGCCATATGGCCCACCACAGCCTCATAGGGTGGAGGGAGCTCGGCAGGGTAGAGCAGGCCAGGGCTGTTGATGGCAACATCATATATGGTGCTGAAGGGAGAGGGAGCAAAGTCCAGGTGCAGGCTCCTGAAAAGGCAGAAGCATGCAATGTCATCTGGAGGGAGCAGAGCCAGCACTGTGGGTCTCAAAGAGCCACCAGAACAGTGCCTGTCAGGCCCTCCCTCATCCAACACTTGTCATACTTATGAAATAAAAACCTAATTCACTATGTAGTTTTAACTCTTTTTTTTTTTCCCTGAAACATCAACATTTTCAACAAATTTTATGGTTCTTCCCATTAAAATTAAGATAATCATTGAGATAATCATAGAGCTGATTAAATCTTTAATTACTTTTACATGCTATATTAATGACTATAATCCAAAAGCAGATTTGTGTTTCATTAGAACATAACAGAACGACTCTTGATGGGCTAGATTTTCTTTTTCATCATATTGCAAACATACTAACAAAGAAGTTCTATTTCTAGACCATTCCTCCTTTCACCTTCATTCTCCACTTTCTTATCATACATGCTTTTATATCCTGCTTGACCTTTCCACTAAGAAAGAAATCTTTTCTATCCCCTGGCTTCATCCCAGTCATGGCAGCAACAGGGAAGACAAACCTCTGGGCCTCAGTCGTGGGTGTGCAGGTATATTCCGGAGGGTAGTAAGGTGGGGGTGGGATCGGGGGGATGAACTCATCAAAGTCAAGTGTCTGGTGGAGAACGGTGCCATGGGGAGTCACACAGGTGGGGTTGGAAGAATGGGACCTCTGTGGAAGAAACTGAAAAACAATGAGAAACAGAGCTTATCAAGGTGATCTGAGACAGCTTACATGGCTTATGTCTATCCAATCTCATTATCTGTAAGCTTTAATTATCTGTTTTGGATGTATGTGATTTAAACCATCATATCATGACCATTAAGCACACTTTAAAAAGTTGGCTCCATGAGGAAGAGCTGTTTCTGGAGTGTGTGGCTCCCACACTGCTACATTGAATGCCTGTTTTCTCAAGAAAAATAGAGTCTGGGAAGTCTTCAGTTTGATTCCTAACACTAAGCCTGAGTACATGCCTCAAGAGGGGCCTGACAACCACAGTTTAAGACAGCATTCCCTAAATGAGTTCAAAACCCTTGACATATATGTTCCAATAAATTTGGGGCTGTCGTGAACTGTGCTTCCTTCTTGGAGCACTGCAATGTGCATCAGTATGTTAAAGGCCCTGAGAAGGTATGTGTTGAAAATCTGTTTAACTTTGTTTAATTCAAGAACTCAACATTGCTCAAATATTTAATTACGGACACATTAACATGGCATAGCAGTTAAGCACTGGCCTGCTATCCAAAAGGTCTGGGGTTTGAATCTACCAGCTGCTCCAGGGGAGAAAGATGTGGCAGTCTGCTTCTGTTAAGATTATAGACTTAGATATCCGATGAAGCAGTCCTACTATGTCCTATAGTTTCACTATGAGTCAGACAATATGGGTTGGACGCATACACACACACACACACACACACACAAAACCCAAACTCATTGGTGTTGAGTTGCGATGCATAGCGACCCCTATAGTTTTCCAAAGCAGGATCTCTATGGAAGTAGATTGCCCAGTCTTCCTTCCAAGGAGTGGCTGGCAAGTTTGAACTACCAGCCTTCTGGTTAGCAGTCAAATGCCTTAAGCACTACACCACCAGAGCACAGAATATGTTAATATTTGTAGCTTCAGGGAGTCTGTAGAACACTGCTCTGAAGGAAAAGAGCTCCAGAATGTTTTATGGGGCAGCCTTAAAAATTGAAGTGCTATTTGAGTAAATGAATGAATAACAAAATGAATGTCATCTCTGTTTAGTTTTCCATTTCTACTCATGGGAAGTCCTGCCAGTAACTACTCTGTCTCCACCTCAGGTCTCTGTTTCCCAGAGGCTACTGTGGAATGGAGATGTCTGAGACACGAGTTCTATTTCCAGTCAGCAGCTCCCTGAAGTATCTACAGGTGAGAAAAGACCCCGTGCTTTCCTAGCTCTACACTCTGCCTTCAAGGGACTCCCACTGCACTGGAGGGAAGTAAGGAAAGGAGTAGGCTATGGGTGGATAAGGCAAGGACTCCGAGTCAACTCTATCAGGCCAAGTAAGGGCAGCTCCATTAGGAAACAGTGAGCTTCCCAAGCACTGTGCAGGAACCTGATGTCCACAGTGGTTAATGAAGAAGATAACATTGGAATGGATATTGGGATATTGGTAGGAGTTCAACAGGTGGGCTGCTAGGAAGGCACTCCAGGAGTGAGAAGAACAGGTGATCAGAGAAATGTATGTGTAACAAGAGCAATAGAAAGACTCAAGCAGTTGATTTTTAATTCTGGGAGCTAGTGAAGGTGCTTGAGCTGAAAAGCATCCCTATTTAAGCTGTGTGGCAGGAAATACCATCTAGCAGCATTGGGAAGGGTGGGCTGGAGTGGATAGAGACTGGGAAAGTAGAATATTTTTGCACTAGTACAGGTGAGGTCATGATCTAATATAGTCAAATGCTAGGAAATTCAGTGTTAGCATCTGATGGAGAAAGAGCCGTGGCCATGTCTAAACATGTAACACAATCACAGTAAAAATGGCCCCTGTGTGGTCTCAGTCTTCTTAGAACATAGAGCACTTTCACTGCTTTTCCAACTGGTCTGACTTGCAACTTTGTCTAATTGTCTGAAATGGAGAGAAGCAATGACTACAAACAGGTCTAGAGTGTGCCTGTCCTCCTCTGTCTTGGTGCTAATGGTACAAAGCTGGGTAGTTGGAACTAGAGTCAATGTCCTTGAAGTCTAACTGGAAAATATTTTACATTAGTCACTGTCAAGTTAGAAAGATCAATAACATACTCAAGCAAAACTAATGAAACGAAGAAGCCAAAATCACATTCCTATTAAAGGTACACTTTTACAAGGAATAAGAACAACAAGCCCTTTTAGGAGCACATCTAAGAGCTCCAGATGGTCCTATTAGTAAACTTAAATGAATAGATGCTGCCATGTATCAGGAGCTTTGTAAGGTTAAGTAGGAGCCTCCATGCCCACATTAAGCCCCTGACTGCCCCCCCATCTGCAATGTGTATTAGCTACCTTCATGGAAACATCTCAGACACAGCACAATTCACACTGAGCCTTTTATGTTTGCTCTTCAGCCTCCCAGTGAGACCTGCCAGTTGTGCTCCTCTCCCTTCCTGCCATCAATGTCTGGGAAAGAAGGCAATGTCTGCCTCTCATCCCAAGGTCATCATCTCTAGTCTGCTCTGTGATGTTGGGGCTGGTAGTCTGCAAATCACATTTCCCAGACTCCCTTGCCAGCAGGCTTCCTGCTAAGTTCCCTGATCCTTTCCTTTCGCCAAGCTTTAAAGAGAAGTAGCTGCTTCATGTGGTTACTTATCCCTGGGTAACCTCAGCACTCTTCTTGCTTCTTTAGCTTCCACACCTGGGTAACCAACTCCCCATATTACCTTGTTGAAATCCTGAGGGTGATTCTTTTCTCACCTGGGTCCTGACAGCCCAGTGTCCTGTCTGTCTTACCTCATACTCCTTGTGCCTTTCTGATGCCTCGCTCACTGAGGAAGAGAAAAACAGACACCTTCTTTCTGTGACACCTCCACTCAAGGCCTGCTTTCCACCTCTTTGTAGGAGTATATAATGTGTCTCTTTACCTTGATTCCTTCCTCTTGAATCCAGTCTCCATTATTCTAGCAGTGTTACTTTTAAGCCAATCCAATGAGCCCCCTGTTAGAAATTCTTTATATCATCTACACCTTGGCACATGAGATCCTTTCTTATGGAGTCCCATTGAGTGTCCAACTTCCTGTCTTCTAGGATTTGTATCAAGGATTTAATTTTACTTGAATCAACAATCAACATACGTGGAAGCAGCAGTGAAGAAATCAAACAACATACTGCATTGGCATATCTGCTGAAAAGACCTCTTTAAGTATTAAAAAGGAAAGATGTCACTTTGATGATTAAGGTACACCTGACCCAAGCAATGGTGTTTTCAATCACCTCATATGCATGCAAAATATGGACAATAAATCAAACCAAACCAAAGCCAAACTCACTGCCGTGGAGTCAGACCCGACTCATAGAGACCCCTCCTTGGATTTCCGAGGCAGTATCACTACAGAAGTAGATTGCCCAATCTTCCTTCCAAGAGTGGCTGGTGGGTTTGAACCATTAGCCTTTTGTTTAGCAGTCAAATGCCTTAGGCACTATGCCACCAGAGCTCCTGTCAAAATTTGAATTATGGTGCTAACGAAGAATATTGAATATACATGGGCTTCCAGAAGAATGAACCAATCTGTCTTGGAAGAAGCACAGCCAGAAGGGAGGAGGATGGTGAGCCTGGGGCCTTGATAAGGAATAACCTACAGGTTCTTAGGTTATTTCTACATGTCCAATTAGGTCCAGGCAAGACATCTGTAAGAGAATAGAGAAGAATCATAACAGTTTGGGGGAGTTCTGTACTCAGATTGCTTTCCATGTCTCACTCCATTTTAAAGGAGCTGAATCTGGAAATCATAGTTGGTGCAGTTTCCATCAAATTTATGCAAGAAATACAACCCAACAAACCAAATAGACTTTTCATCAAAGAGAAGATCGTGGCCCCAAATCAGAAGACCAGTGGGTAGATGCTTACATGTTTAAAGTGTAAAAAAAATAAGTTTATGGGTGTAGACACCATTGTTATGACTATCTACTTTAACCAGCTTGTTAGATTAGTCAGCCACCTTTAGCCCTGATCTGGTCCTTAAGTCCTACTTCCCAGAGAAGGCTCTGACAAACCAGGCCTGAAGGAAGTTCACTGTGGAGATAGGAGGCTCAGCTTCTATAAGGGAAGAGATGAGGGGAAGAGGCAACAATAATGTTGGGGTGATTCTGGGGTGCTTGGGGGTGATGTTATACTCCTGATTGGCCTACACTCTTTAGTAGCCTCTATGGTAAGCCCACAGTTACCACACCAGTGGAGGGCACAATGCCCTATCTGTACTTTCTAATGAAGCTTTACTTATAAGGCTAGAGGTAAAAAAAATAAATAAATGACAATAATAAAAGAAGTTAGCAAGAAATGGAGATGCATGTAATAGCACATGACGCTCCTTCAGCTAAGGGAACTGCAATTAACTAAGTGTGGAGGAAAATAATGCCATCCAAAAATGAGATTGCATATAAAAAATAAAATAAAATGATATTATAGATACTTCAGTGGTAAAAACCTTTCTCCATTAAACAATATCAATAAACTGAATTTTATAATCAGATTGCCCATTGCCACCATTCCCAAACATATTAACATAATTTTGCTTTATAAATTCTGACAGTAGGCACAGCACATGGCACTTCGCGTATACATGCATTAAGTCACATTAATTCCGACAACTGCTAATTATCTAGAAGTCCACAGAAATAAGAAAGGAATATGAGTCCTCTGGAGGATTTGTTCGTGGCATCTCTGATTCTCTGACAGCACTTGACATAGCAAAACTCATTAACTTTTTACTGACTAAATGAATGAATTGATAAGCAAATAAAAATGAGTGAATGAATCAGCAAATAACACAAAATTATGATTCTCCTGAAAAATGGTTGTATCTAGAGTTTTATTTTATTGCATAAACTCTTCATATATAAGCCATAGTAGAAATCACAACTGAGGTATCCTAACAAACCTTTAGGAACAAGGAGAAGGGCTGGGGAAATGGAAGAAGGGAAGGCAACTTGTCTGTGCACTCTCACGTAATGGTGTGGGGGGCTGTCTAAGCA